AGGGCTGTGCAGTCAGAGCTGGAAACAATTCTTGGGTTACTGGACATGGGAAAAATGTGCTGACTCCAACCCCAATTCCTATTAAATTTAAATTCTAATAGAAATAATATATTCAAATTCCCTATTTCACAGATAATAATTTGATTGGCCTACTTTTTCAGATTATATATTTAGAATATATTTTAATTTCATATATTAGTGAAAGCAATGCTCCTTGAAAAAATTCACAATGACAAAAAAGTGTGAACAAAGTTGGCTGTTTCTGAACACTTTACAATTGCAACAGATGAGAAATATTATGTGTGTCAATGTATTATAGTTGATGATGATTGTGAAAAGACGTGTTGCAAAAATTAGTAGCATAGCTATAGCCTTTAGATCCAAACCAAAGTAGCCCAATGATTCACATTGGCAGTGATTAATTGCCTTGTAGATTGAGTGCTTTCAATCAATATAAGAAATAAATAATTAGTATATTTATTTCCGGTACTGATGTATAAATAAAGGAGTCTGAGTCAAAGGTACCATAAATTGAGGAGTCAGAGTCGGGGTCAGAGTTGCAGGTTTTATGTACCAGCTTCACAGCCCTGCCAACCAGTTGGGAATCTTATAAGGAATGGAATAATGTCATACTACAGCATAGCTAATCAGACTTCCTGTTTTTTTTTAACTTGGTAGTTCCAGATGTGCTCCATTTCTGGACCTACTAACATCAGCCATTCCAGAATCATCCCTCAGTTCAGCTGCTAAAATTTAGCAAAGAGTCTACAATGCATTCATGCTACTGATGGCAAATAAAGCCAGAGTGAGGGCAATATTGGCCTATCCAGGAAGCACTGATGGATTTTTGGTGAAAGCAAATTGGTGAAAAAGGTGTTTTAAAGCTGCTGAAAATATTTGTCCCCTTTTCAGCTCAGCTCTTCTTTCTAAGTTGAAATGTGGCTTCTGTGTAACCATGAAGGAAGGAGCTTGTTTGTAGCCTTGAATGACAGCATAAACCTAGTATTGCCATTTCTGTTTCCCTGTATTTTTACATGGCTCTTGGGGAGTGATGCTGCTGGGTCGAAACCATGCAGCCGGAGACCCTTTCTTCTTCCTGGTGCTAAACAAGCACCATGCAATAAGCTTTCAAGAAGCAGCCTTGTGCCTCAGAGTCCTGGATCCACTCTTGGTTCTCAGTTTGGGAAGAAAGTTGTATTTAAAATGCTGCTAAATAACCATATAACTCAAAACCATGTCCCCTTTTTGGCCCTAATGAAAGCTTACATTTTGCTCTCATATTTGTGCAAAGGAGTGCAGCAAAATTCGTAAAATATGTATGAAGACTCTCGTTGTTTAAATGGTATCAAAATGAAAGATTGATACGCCACAAAGCTTATGTCTTTAAGCAGCCAGAAAGCTGCTAAAATTAGATCTCCCTTGCCTATCACTTGTACATAGACATGAGAGTTGGCTTAAAATTGGACAGTAGGCTTGAGTTAGAAGACTGCTAGTTACATACAGTTGGGACAAAAAGGTTTCATCTAATGGCTGGGAAACATACTAGAAGGAATCTGCTGCTGGATGGCAACATCTGCCTAACTTAGTCAAAAGACTGCAGTGTGTTTCCAAACATTAGGATGAGGATAGTTCTAACATATCCTGCATCAGAAGGTAGCTTTATTAAGGTTAGCTAACTTTTACATATAGCTAGTTGAATGGAAGTTGTTAGCATTATAAAAGGGGTAAATCTGGAAGTAGGAGAAAAGTACTATTTGCCCAAGAGGATAGCCAGCATTCCATTATTATGGACCCAGAAAGATGGAAATGCCGCCTAATGAAGCTTAGAGTTGTATTTCTTTTCTTTCTTTTTATTACATTGACAGGTTAATTCCAAGCTGCTGCAGTTGAATTCATAGATGTTCAAGTGGGGTACTACCTATGTTAAGCCAAGAAAAGGAAGAAAGTTCAGAAACAAAATGCTAGATAAGCGGCTGCTGTCTGTTGAATTACTCATCATCAAATTAAGGTCTTTGCAGCAGTATTGGCATAAAAAGGAACTGCCAGCTCAACAACTAAGTATTAAAGAAGACAGGCAAGAAATGACTGTCTGCAAATGTTTCAGCCTATTTTAACTGTAAGGTATTTTTCCTGCAAGTAGGAAAAATAATCTCTTGAGCAGTCAACCTATATTGAAACAAGAATGTTTCTTCTTGTTTCCACAAGCAAATGGAAGATATTGAGTTGATTTAATACTAGAGATGGAGGACACTATTTTAATGTTATATCTGGATCTTATAATTATGTGTATCTGTGTGAATCCTATAAAAACATACCTGGGAATAAGACCCATTGAACTTACTGGGGCTTCCTTCTGAGTAGACCTTTATGCAATTGCACTGTCAGTATATAACAGTCTTAGACTGTTTCTAATAGAAAAGCATACACACAATTTACTGGAAGATACAGTGCTTTTAAATGCTCTCCTTTAATTAGCTTACACAAGAGATTTAATTTGGCTGCATAAAGGTTCCTTAATTTGTATATGACAGAGAAAAGATTTTTAGGCTAGTAACCTGATCTGTACTGAATAGTTGATGAGCCATTCAGAATGAACATCAAACATTTTTAAGTACGCTTAGCACTTAAAGTTTCAATCAAATATGCTTTATATGTTATAGAACATTCTATCGAAGTTGCAGTTGTTTTTTGAAATTATAACCTGTCTTTTTGATCCCATGTGGCCTGCAAGGCTACTATAAAAAGCATGCATGCTTTATGTTGCCTTCTTACTGTGATATTAGCAAATGGGGACCCTGGTAACTGCCCTTTGGGCTGCCCCTTAATTCATTTATTTAAATATATTGGGTAATTTTTTTCAAAGTTCCAAGCCAACTTCTTTCTATGCTTTGAGGATTTTACCCCACCCCCAACAACTTTTTCAAGTACATAATAAATTTTTTGGTTGTCAAAACTCTGCTGTTGTGTATATTTAAATGCTTATATCCATAAAGAAGATTTGCCGCTAGGGATTGCCTGTACTAATTCTTTCCCTACTCTTAGCACCTTTCTCAAGTTGATAGACCAGAGGTGGAACAGAGTAAGCACTTCAGTAGGGATGTAGCACAGGCCTCAAATTCTTTACTGATAGAGAACAGAAGATTTTGAAAAAGATGCTAGATTTTATATGAATGCTATGGGGTAGATCACTTCAGGGAATTACCCTAAGCCTGGGCTGGCCCTCTTGTGTGTACCTGGCATAGGTGAGTCAATGAACTTCAGTGGCTATCTCATACCTAAGCCTCTCAGTGAACATCAGCTTTTGTGTTACAATATGTGAGATATCAGTTCTGTGTATGCATGGTTTAGACACACAAATGGGAACCTTATATGTGAAAAAGCCCATTCATATGTGCCACCCAAAGTTCAGAAGTTGTGGAGCCAAGAGCCACATGCCTCTTATTTCCACACATTCCACATTGGGATGAGAGTGAGAAAGGACCAAATATTGCACTGTTGTTGCAGAAATTACCTGTTATGAGCAAGCAATGCACTCTCCCTGAGGGCCACCAACCATCCTCGCTCGAGTTAATTCCCTGATATGAAAGCAGGGAGGAAAAACCTTTCTAATCTTGTTCATGCCACTTCCTTGCTATATCTCTGTTGAATCTGGAAAGTACTGTTAGATACAACCTAACAGTGTGCTTCTAGTAGAATGGATATTTCTGATGGATGAAATTTCCCTCTCTGATGCTGCAGTCATCCTACCCTGCAAGTCATACAGCATCAATATTATACTACCTCTGGGGAAGTTACTGGTGGTTTTCAGAATTTCAGTAGTTTGTAGATGTTTCTTCCAGGTTAGGATACTGCAGATCCCTGTGCTAGCAGGCATTATGTACCAGCACTTTCATGGAGAAGTGGCAGAGCAGGGAGGCCAGCCTGAAAATCTGCCAACCTGGTCAGTTCAGACAAGCAGTTGCTTGAATGAAGGAATGCTTTGGTTTTGCCTCTGTTGGGGCTCCTAAGAAGGCAGTGTGCTGTTCTTGTGGGCCTGCTGCCCTGATCCCTTGCACACACGCAGCAGAAATTCCTGCACATGCTCTGGCTCCCAATTGGACTTCACTTAAACCAACAGAAATTACCAAATTTACCCCAGGGTTTGTAAACTTGGAAGGGATTGGCAGGTTGTCTCTGCGGATTATGAGCATGGAGAGGGACGGTTAGCTGGAAGTTCATTTTGTCCTGGATTTTAAATTGTGTCTGCTAATTCGGTCCAGCACTAGTGCCTCTTCTTTCTTGCCACCTAAGTCTGCAAAATTTTTAAAGGGGGCTTTAGAATGGCAGTGTAAGTCAAGTTTCCATGGAATAGTTTTCCTTTGACAGTCATTTAATTAGGCTGTTTTGTTTTTGTTTTTGTTTTTTTGTTGTGGGGGGAGTGGCAGTTGCGGGGAATGTTGCCAACCATGCTAAAAAGTACCTGGAAGGGCGTTCCTCTCCTTTCCTCCTCAAAGTGTGGAATTCCGGCACTGATTTTCAAATGCAGCACAGGGACCCCTCTTCTAAGGGGCGTTGCATTCGTGCACGTCTGTTTCACTGCATTGTGCAGCTTGGGACTGGAGGTAAATGGGAACGGTCCGCCTGGCGCCGTCATTATTTGCTTTTCGGCGCCAGGCGAAGACCTTTTTATTTAAAAGTTATTTTAACTGTTATTTTATTATTGTATTTATAGATTTTAATATATATTGTCGAGATGGTACCAGGTTTTAGATTATTGATTGTATTTTTATGTTTATTTTGGATGTTGTGAGCCGCCCCGAGGCTTCGTTGCAATGGGGGCGGCATAGAAATGTTTCAAATAAATAAACGATGTGTGCAACCCACGCCGCTCGCGGTGAGGTCGGGGCATGGCAGGCGAGGACCATCCGCTTCGGGGCACCGGCGGCGCCTTTGCCTCTTTCAATAGTGACTTGGCGCTTTGTTCTCTCTCTCCCGTCCCGGCCTGCGCTCCCCCCATCCAGGGCCCCGCGGCGGCGGCTGCAGCAAGCTCAGCGCTGTCGGAGGACGACGGTCCCCACCGGCGGCACCCCATGGAGAATTACCGGAACGCCACCGAGGTTCAGATGAGCCAGATGGTGCAGCCGTGTCACACCAACTATCGCGGAGAGCTCAGCATCGGGCAGCTCCTGAAATGGATCGACACAGCAGCCTGCCTTTCCGGTAAGCCGCCGTGGCCGCCTGCCGTGGACGCACGGGAGGGGAGGGCGGGTGTGTCTTGGCAGCCTTCCCTCGGCTAAATTCAAAGGGCGGACGTGTGTGCGTGCGTGCGTGTGTGTGCGCTCGCTTGCTTGCTCTCTCTCGGGTTTTAAGGTGGTCTGACCAAGTTAGGCTCGCACAGGCACCGCGCGCGGGGAGGAGCCTTCTGGATAGAAAGCCGGTGGGTGGGCAGCCTTCAGGCTCCAGAGGAGAGCAGCCAGGATGCCGCTGAGCACATGTTCAGCCCGAGAAAGTTTCCAGTAGGAGAAATGAGCTCAGAGTCCTTTCACCCAGCCAGCCAGCCAGCCAGCTTTCCCAGGGTGCTTCTAGTTTCTTCCTTGAAATTTACGGAGGGTCCAGATGATGACCCTTCCCGGCTTTTTCAGCCGCTTTGCTCTTTTTCTTTCTGCAACAATCCATTAAGGATATTCTACAATAGCTGCACAGTAACAGTGACTTTTGACTGGCAATGCTAGAAGCCCACATCCAAAAGCACCCCAAGATGTCTATGTTAAGTCTTGTCATATGTTTGACCACGTCCAGCTTGCCTTGATTCATAGATCTTATGTTCCAGGCTCCTATGGAGTATAGATCTTTGCAGCATCGGAATTTCCTTTCACCACCAGATACATCTGCAACTGAGTGTCCTTTCGGCTTTGACCCAGTCGCTTCATTCTTTCTGGCGCTACTAGTACTAGCCCTCTGCTCTTCCCCAGTAGCACATTGGACACCTCCTAACAACCTGAAAAGTGCTGGTAAACTGCCAGCATATACTGCCCTCTGTGTGTGCTCACATCATGTGTCATGTTTATAAATACCTGTCACGTCTTTAAGAATTTTTAAGGGAGAAAAAGGTCAACCAGCACTTTAACCATTACTCATAGGAAGATGTTGCTTCTCTGCATGCTTTTTTGCTATATGATACACCACTTGAGACAGGGCATCAAAACTGCACAGTGTTCCAAATACAGTTGTAACATAGATTGTATGAAAACATTAAGAAAGTTGCAGTTTCTTCTGATCGTGTTATTAATATTCCCAAGCTGAATTTTTCTTTTGTTTCTTTCATTGACACCCCACACTGAGTTGTGGTTGTCACTGAGCTGTCTGCTGTGACAGGATCTCAGGTTTCCTGAATAGTCAGTCAGCTCAAACCCAATCCATGTACATACTCTGTCAGTATTTTCCCCCATAGGCCTCATTTAGTAATTGACTTTTCAGATTAATTTATCAAAGTAACTGTGACTATCTTCAACTTTATGCAGTTTTTTTTACTCACATAGATGTTCAGTTTGATAACACTGCAGCTGTAGTTGTCAATTTTTAAAGCACAGAAAAAAGCAAGCAAAGAATGGGCATTTTACTGCCCAGACATGGACAGGATTGCCCTCTAAACCAGGGACCCTCAAACTTTTTTATCGGGGGGCCAGTTGAAAGGTGCCGGTGCTGGGTGCGGGCCGGAAAGGTGGTGCTGGTGGGATGCGCGGGCCTGCACAGGAGCGGGGCTAGGGCCGGTGCTGAGATGGGGGTGGGGCATGTGGGCACAGCGAGGGGGGAGGAGGTGGGCAAGTCGGGGGCGGGCATGCGCCGTGATGCAGTGGCGGGCGCGTGATGCAGCAGCTTGCTCACTTGGAGATCATTTTCTCCAAGTGAGTCCAAAATTATCTCCTTGCGAGCAAACCGCTGCCTCCCCACATGGGGGGGGGTGCAGGCAGGTGGTGGGTGTGCGCACAGCGTGTTGAAAACCTCTGAGGTGGACCAAATAAATGGCCATTCCGGCCCCCGGGCCGTAGTTTGAGGATCCATGCTCTAAACAGCTTTCCCAACACTTGGATTTCTGGTTAGAGCATGGGTACTGCTAACGCTCAGTTGCTTTGTGGGTTTTTAACAGATTCTATCAATTTGGATGATTTGGTGGCTTATAACTGGTGTCTAAAAGTTAGGTCTCATAGTATCTGCATTGCTGCAGAGATCAAGGAAGTAGGTGTCTCCTCTGAGGCTCTTCAGCTCTATTTGTACATTGCTCAAATTGAAAATGAAAAGAGCAGTAAGGACTGTGCATATATCCCTGCTCCCAGTCTTGCCCTACTCTGCCTGCCTCACCTTGGCCCTATTTAGCATAATTTCTGAAGATGGGGGCAGGGGGGCTTCTTAGGCTTGCAGAAGCTTCTCTTAGCCCCTGTTGGAGTTGCCCTAGTAAAAGTTATACATTTTATAGGTTAGAATATGGAAACTTTGCCTGTCCCCCCAGCCCCATCTGCAGGGTTTTCCATTCAGGTTCCTTCTACTAGAAAAGGAAGAACAGCCCCCGGGATATGCAATGATTCACCCACTGGCAAATTGCTCTCAAATGCAGAACACAGTGGGCAGGGGGATGATACAATGTAACTAGTATATTCAATACAACTAGAATATTCAAATACTGGGCCAGCTCATTATTGTCTTTCTGCAATTTCCTACCTTGGACTGTAAAAAGCAAACACAGAGGCCTGTTAATTCTGTAACTTCTGATTGTTTTATCTTGTCACTCAAGACCTTGATGCATCATGATGTTTTTCCAGTGTTTCCCTGAGGATTTTTCAATGCAGTTTCCTTGAGTGTTTCTATATTGCTCTTGCATGGCACCCATTCAAAGTGTCATTCCCCTCCCTGCCATGTGTACATGACTGCAACTCCGTAAAACACTGTGTATATTCCGTTCCTCATAGCCACTCTTGGACTATGCCCCTTCTGTGCTGTTGTAATTTAGGGATTTCTGTTGTTGTAAATAAACTGTTGAGTGTACGCTTCCATTGAATCCAGGTATTAATTCCAAGCAAGCCTGAAATCCTAATACCCCACTGCCTACATTTTGATATCATTGAATAAAATGGCCTTCCACTACACTGCTGTTTAATCAACTAAAGCTTTAGTTGATCTAGGGCATGAGCCTTTGCATGTTTAGCCATCTGGCTGGGCATGCTGGGAGTTGTGTGTCTTTCTTCTGCCTAAATGTGTGTCTTTAATCTGTCAAGTAAACTAATTACAATTTATGGCCCAGGTGTTATCAATATCTTGGAAATAGCACGGCAGAGGAAAAGTATCAGTGAGGGCATATCCCCACATAGCACCTTTTATGATCCTTTTATGATTAAGACAGCAATACTAATAGGAATGGACAGATCATCACCATGTTAGAAGAGATGAATAGCCTTTAGATAAAGGAACATATTTCAGATGCCCAACAGCCAACATCAAATCATTACAAGCCAAGCTCATAAAGAGCTGAAAGATGCTTCAGATTCCTATGTTCCAGCAGAAGGTTTTTAGCCAACGGTACAATAATCTGCCTGGGAATTTTTCCCAGTCCTGTGTACTGGGCTAATCTTGACACTGTTTTTTTATATAAAGGGCCCATATATTGGGTGCTGCCTTTTGCTTGCATTCTACTACGGTGCTGATTTCTGAGTTCTTGCAAAGAAAGGTTTTTTTTTCCCATTCTAAGCCTGTAACTATAATTACTGTGAACAGAAAGAACCACATGTTTGGTGCCATGATGTATATAACCAATGTGGTTTGTTTGCCTTTTCAGCCGAGAGGCATGCTGGCTGCTCCTGCGTCACAGCTTCAGTGGACGATATCTATTTTGAGCACACAATTAGGTAACTGCCTCACTTCCTTGTCATTTGCAGTTTAACTGGATTTTTAAATGGATTTTTAAAATGTGCCCTCAGCAAATGCAGGAGTTGTAGAAATTTGTGCCATGTTAATTAGCTCATTAGAGTCTACTTAAATTTCCCCAGTCCTCAGCCCATGCAGCCAGTGAAAAATACTGGGGAAAACGCATGGATCTGACCTATCAGTTAAGATTCACCTGTGCTGTGTCAGGGCATGATCACAAAACAAGACAACTGGTGTGGTGTTTTGTGTGTGCTCTTAACAAAGATGTGTGAACAATGGGGGCTTGGACATGTTTCTGTGAAACCTTGTTCAACACAAATAGACATCCTAAATGCACTGCTTAATTTGAGTCAAAGCTCAGACTTGAGGAACTTCCTTGAATTCTGGTGCTAAGGTTTGGCATGGGTTGCATTCATTCTAAGAATTTAAAAAAAACAAAAAAACAAAAAACGCATTTTGGAAGGTTTACAGAATGCCACCTCCATGACAGAATTCAGCACACCTGGCATATCTGTACTTAGGGAAAAAGCTTCAGATCAGAGATTTATGGCTTCTAGATAGGCCATCTAGGTGATCTAAAACAAGCCAGCACTGTCATATGAAGTTCCAACATCTTATCAAGTGATTATAGAGTAATATTGTGGTTCCCAAGTGTGGCATCCAAGAAGAGGTTGCTAGCATGGTGCCTGGAGGCATCTGACTTTTACATTTTATTTTCCTAACCTTTAAAATAAATGTACACATATTCATATGAAATACATGCAACTTTCTAGCAATTTCAACAAAAGTGGAACAAATATACAAATGAATATATTTGAAGGTAGCATTTCTATGCCATCCATTCATATAGTGAAAACATAGTAAGGTCCTCAGTTCATTGCATTGTAAGACACTGGATGTTAATCCTTTTGATGGTGTAATAGCAGTCTTTCAGCTTTCAAAAGGGTGTCGAGCATCCATGCCCCTCCTAATTTGTTAATTTCCATGAAGTAAATCATTTAAAGGTGTGTGTATATCAGAGAATATTAAAGACTCTTCCATTACAAAATGTATCTGTATAATAACTTCCTCTCCAAAAGAAGGAACTACTGGACTTGGCTAAAATGTATGTTTAAAAAGTGTATTGGCTGTATTGCACAGCCATCAATTAGCTGAATTAGTCCTGAAAGAGATATTGCAGTGTTCAATAGACACAATTTTTTTGCTGAAAAATATGCAGCCTAAGATACCCAGACATGACAGGTCAATGCCAAAGTAGTGATCCACTGATTAGGGTGTTTTGTCATGGTACACACTGTGGTTTCTCAAATCCTGGGTCCAAAAGGTTTGGGAACTCTTGAATTGTGTGTCACTGTAATAATTTCTCCGATCAAGCTGTGTTATTTATTACAGCCTGTTGGAAGCATATCACCTAGATATGCCAGGAACTGAGCATTGGACCTTTGGCATGCAAAGCATGTACTTTACCAGCGGACTTTGGCTTTTTAGATCTAGATTACAAAACATTATGTTTAGGGGGAAGCTATTTCCTTTAGGACATGGTATGCTGCTGTATGCAAAGTCAGCTCACTGGGCCCTCAAGATCAGTGTTATCTGCAATGACTGGCAGTAGCTGTCCAGGGTTTTAGACAAGGGTACTTCCCAACCCTAACTGGACATGCTGGGACTGAACCTTCTAGGTAATGATATCAGAGAAATCTGTAACGGCTGAGCTCAGATTTGCAAGAAGCCAGCTGAACCCATGGATTTCACAGTGAACTGGCTTTTCTGTTGATTCACAGATTTTTAAAAATTGTACCAAATAGTGCACATACTTAGTGAAATTAAAATGGATAACATGAAATAACCCTGATCAAAAATAACATTCTCCCATAGACTGAAGCATGGAAATATACATTTTGGCAGAGTGTTGGGGGGGGGGGTGACAGGAGGGGTGAATTTGTGTATTTCTGAGAGTGCAAATTTGAGCAACTCTAAATGTGTGCAAAAGCATTCAAATGCTGTTTTGCAGAATCCAGTTCCATCAGTGAATGGAGGTTGGAATGAAAGGTTCCTGACAACTGCAAAACATAGGCAGAATAGATTTACAGTGTCTATATGCAAAGCATGTGCTCTATCACTTAGGTATTGCTTTTTCCCAAACTATTTACATTTAAAGATGCGGTTTTTCAGCAAAGGAGTAGAAGTGGGGTGGGGGTGGGGGAGAGAGAGAGGGCAGGGAGACAGCTTGGAAACCCTCACTTCGCATGGTAGCAGTTCATGTGACCAGTCCCTCTGGATATCAGAGGCATCAGCAGGAATGCACAATCTTTCATGTGGAAGCGTCCCCCTCACAGAAATGTGGGCACTAGAGCTCTGGGCTATCAGTACACTTTTCAATCTTGTTTGAGATACGGCATAGTTAGCTTATACATACATGAATTCTAGCAGTCTATTAAATAGCCATGGAGTTTGGAAAGTGGTAATTGCATAGTAATTTTTGCTTATACAGATAAGCTTCAGTTTATGGCTTAGAAATAATATTTTCTAGAAATAACACCCAAGCTTATTTTTTGCCATTATATCTTTTATTGGATCTATTTAGTGTGTTATGCAAAAGGCATAATTTCATTAAAGTAAGACCAAGAATTGTAATTTATTTGTTTACAAAATTTATTAACCTCTGTTCAGGATGAAGTGAAGGCTTAAAAAAACTAGTAGACTCTTTTTCCTATAGAAATATGCAAAAACTCTAGGTATTTTTCCTGGCCAGTGTGGTAGGTGAGCATGTCTTTGTTTTGGGAAAGCTACTGGAAATTTTGATGAATTTGGAAGTTTGCCTTCAAGAAAATAAAACAGACCATAATTTTATTATTCATATATTTATTCTATTGGTAAGAATTGTATATCACTCCAGTATAAGCAGATTTCAGTCCATGTTTGCCCTTATCTTGATCTTTTCAAATGGTTCGATTTATTATTGTGTGCTTGCTCAAGATAGTGAACGATGCTGACTGGTTTCACCACCTGCATGGCTTTTGTTGTAAAACAGAGGACTTTGCCCTTGCTCAGCAAATGTTAGGAGGGGTGTCCCCTAAACAACATGCTCCTACCCTGCTGGTCATGTGATGCTGTGGACCCCGGAACTTCTGTGTCATGTATACGTAGGCCACATTGCTTAACCAGTTCTGTGCTGTAAGGCTACCTATGGTGATGGTAAGCAATCTGATACCCTCTGGATTTTTGAGCTACAGCTTCCATAAGCAATAGCCAACAGGGCTAATGGTAGTGGTAGGTATGGGCGCTGTAGTCCAAAACATCTGGAGGGTATCAGGTTGCTTATGCCTGGGCTGTGGGCATTGCCAGAGTGTGGCTCAGACATGCTTTCATCAAACCATGGTGCACTGGGTAGACCTTATAGATCTCTAGAGAAACTGTGCCCTGCACTTTAGGTAACTTTTCATGTAGTTTAGTTAGGTATCTCTGTACTACTTTGGCACAAAGGGCTCTTGGGGTGGCTTATAAATAAATTAAAACAATACAAGATACATCTCAATAATAAATAGAAACACAACAGAGTAATTGTAATTAAAGCAGGAGACTGCAAAGCAAAATGATGAAAAGATTTAAGATACCCAGGCAAATAAAAATGCCTTCATCTTAGCATGAAAAGGATGTACAGTTTGGTTGGGAAAGCATTCCCAGGGAGGGCATTCCAGAGTTTGGGTGTCACATCTGAAAAGGCTTCATCTCTGGGCACTACTTACCTCAAAGGCCTTGGTGTGGATCCTAGGTCCTCCATGTACTAACAAGGCGGGTTAAGCCCTGAGGTACCTGGGCCCCAAACGGTCTGTGACTTTAAAGGCGACTCAAGCATCATGACTTATATTTCATATAAAAACATAAGAAAAGCCATTCTGGATCATACCAGTGGTCCATCCAGCCCAACACTCCGTTCATATGGAGGGAAACCAGCCATATAGCAGGATCCCTTAGTAGCCTACCTGCTGTATTTTGAACCAAATGGCATTTTCCAAATGTTCTTCTAGGGCACTTTATGTGTTCTGCCAAAACACTGATACAGTAAGGTCTGCAGCATGGGCAACCAGATAACAGATAATGCACCAAAACCCAGGCAACAAGGCACAAAGCCAGAGTCCAATTACTAGTCCAAATCACAAATCCAAAAACCAGGAGTCAGTCATAGTGCCGTCAAGGAAGCAAGAGCATGGTCAAAGATGAACCAGAGGTCAGGAGCCACGAAGACAGCACAGTGGAGTTGGGACCCTCAGGGCAGGGGCACTCAAGATCAGGACACAATGAGCACCAGCATTCTAGAGACCAGTGTTGCTGAGACAGCTTCTGGAGGGAAGATTCAGTTCTTAAACAGCTCTTCCTCCAGGGCTCTCAGGTGGTGCTTGTGAAGGCCCTGGAAGCTGCAATAGAGCCTGGGACTAATCCTGCAACTACCAAGGTGGTTATTCTGGTCCTTTGCTAGCAGGAGGAGCCCTGAAGCTGCCCAGACCCTGCCAGATAGTTTTCTATAGTTGAGTAGAGAACATTTGGAAGCAATTGTACTGATAGCTAGTTTCTTGGTGAAAATGGCAGGAGAGTTCTGAAGATATCTCCAGAAACCATCCAAATGCATCTGTCTCTGTGGTTGGTCCATCATTTTCCCACCCCTGTAGGGACTAAGAGTGGCTCAGATTATTATCCAGAGTCATACCAACCAAAGTAGTTCCAGCTCTCTTCTTCATGATCTGTTATCTCCTAAACCAGCCTTCCTCAACCTGGTGACCTTTAGAGTAGGGCCATTGACTAGGAATTCTGGGTGTTGCAGTCCAAACGTGTCTGGAAGGCACAAGGTTGGAAAAGGCTGTCCTAAACCAGTACCAGCCAGTCCAATATATGCTGTGCCACATGCACTGGGCTAGATATTGAGAAGAGCCCTTGGTTGTCATAGTTGCTATGAAATCCCAAACATGATGATCCTGATGTGTTTTTTGAAGTTCCCTATAACCACAAGCCTTGGATTCCTCTAAATTTACCTCTGTTAATGCAGACAGGGAGTCTTGTGGGGTGGAAATACATCCTCCAAATCTATGTCCGGCCTTGAATCCCAAATGTAGATAGAGACATTCCAGACTGGTTGGTTATTGGATGCAGCATCTGACCTGAACAGTGGTCACACTGATATCTATCTGTGTAAGACTAACCCCACCTTGCCAGCAAGGCAAAGCAGGGTCAGAGATGAAGGCACAGTGCAGAGGCAAGCTGAGGTTGGATACTGGTGAGGCAAGGTCAGAGAGGACAAGAAAAAGGAACCTGGCAAGGTGGGGTCAGACCAGAGGCAAGAGCAGAGTCCGGTGCAGGCAGGAGTCAAGGCACAACTGGAAGCAAGTCAAGACTGGAACCAGGATCAGGACCACAAAGCAGCTGCCATGAAGGCCTGTGTTGCTGTGGCAAAACTGAGCAAGGAAGCCTTTGGCAGAACCTTCCAGAACTTCCCGCTGTGCCATGTGATTGCACAGGCTCCAGTCCCACATGTCTGCTCCTGGTCCTACAGACATTTGCAGAGGGAATCACACTGCTCATCACCATGGGAGCTGTGTCAAATCTTCAGAACCTGACAGAATGCAAGCAAGACATTCCTCTGTGCAGGAATGGTTCAAGGATCAGCACTTAGGCCCAGGATCTGTCATCTTAATGTGAAAGTGTGTTTTGGCAGGGATGGGCCATGCCAACAGGCACCTCAGGTTGTTCAGGTAGCCCAGCACAGTTCAATCATAGCCAGGGCTGCTTGTAAATCACATTGGCTAAACTTCCTAATGATTCTGTAAAGTCATCAGTGAAACAAAATTGTTATGGACCAGGACCCAAAGCTGCCCTCTCAGCAGATCTTGACCTCTTGTCTTTAGAAGAGAGGCTTCTGAGTTAACTGCTCAGGGTGAAGCCTTACATGAATGCATCGTGACCCTTTCATTTCTTTGGGACCCAATTCTCCAAGAAGACTCCCAGGACCCTTGCATCTAGAGGCAGCTGCATTGCCATCCTCGGACTCTGAGGATTCTAGCCATGAAGACACCTTTACTCCACATCGTTGCACCCTGAGGCTGCTAAAACAGACTGGTCCCTTGAAGAGAAGCAGGCACAGGGCACAGTGCAGGCATGGGGTTGCTCACCCTAAAGGAGGCCAAACGACTGACTCCTTCAGTCTTGTTGAAGCAACATACAGATAAACTTTTCTGGCTTCTAAGTCCAACACCATTCAGAGTTCTTAATGCAGTCCTTATTCCGGTTGTTCCTTTCCAGGAAACCCGACTTGCCCACAATCCTATAAAGACTGGTGCATTTCAGAATCCTGAAACACAGGCCTCAGCAACATTCAGTGACCATCAGCTCTGGTCACAGCAGAGGCAGAGCAGAGAAGACATGTTAAAAAAAAACCCAGCCCAGATACAATAACAACAGTGTCTAAGCCAATACAAATTCTTCTGGGGAGATTAAGAATGACATGTACTCATGATCCTTCTGTATTTCTTCCCGAAGTTGAGAAATAAAAGCCCAGTCAAGTGAGAGTCAGTCTATTTCTAGTCAGCTCAGATGAAATCAAAAGGTGCAGAAGTCTTGTGTGAATTGTGTTCTCATGTAATTAGATAGCTTGAGAGGCTGAGCTGGTGCATCCCATCCTGAGTGTATTGGATTGATTGAAGTCAGGCTGTGTAACTGTTGAAGAGTCTGTCCTTAAGTCTGAGCAACTCTGACAGTAGGTGTGAAACAGAAAGAGAAGAATACATGTAAAACCACAAGTCCAATATGGTTTTCTAATTGATTGAGCAAGCTACCCTGTATCAAATTAACTTGGATTAACAGGAGAGTTCTGGACAAGCAAGAAGTACGACTTTCTCATGCAGTGTGTGGTACAGGATAGATTATGGGTTTTAACTGTTACGATGAATGCTTTTATACTCTTATTGCTTTTATTGACCCTTTTGTTTATAAGCCACCTCCATAGCCTATTTAGAGTGGAACAGTGACAGATAAATTTGAAAAATTATACTTGAGGGGTTTCTTTCTTTTGCTATAGGATGTTTCTAGAAAGGATTAGACAATTGACCGGTCTGTCAGTGCCTGGGAAGACCTTTTGACATGCATAGCAGGAACTGCTGAAATCTCAACTGGTTTGTAATGTGATTGTCCAGTATGTTCCTCATTGACCAGAATGTTGATTTGTGGTACAACGTCACTCTATTTTTTGCATTCTTTTCCTGAAGAAGAATAGTAATAAATTCATGCCCAAACTCCAGATGTGAGAACACTTAGTCATATAAGCACGAACAAGACTTTCATTTACAGAGGGTAAAGTTTTAATTATCAATTGTGTAAGACAATCAACTGGATAGCTGTTCACTTATGAGCTTTCCAGGGACATCTGGCTGTCTCTTGGAGAAAAGCATGTGGACTGGCACTGTTTTCATGAGGCTTAAGGATATGGGATGCACTAAATTGGCACTGCCCTTCATTTGGAAGTCCCCCTTGACTGTTCAGCTATCATACTGGAGTAGTTAAAAAATAGAATCAAGGACTTTTGGTTGGTCTGAAATTCTGTTATTTCTAAGCGTTGCTTTTATTATTTTAAAAACTAGATTTTCTATGATAAGAATAGAAAATATGAACAGCAGCTGCTGGTATTTTCTCTGTCCTGTCTTAATTCTGTTCATCACCCTGCTCCTCACAAATACAAAGCATCTAATGTTGTCGCAGGAGTGCTTCGGTTCTACTCATCTGTGTTGATCAGGTGGGCAATTAAAAAGCAGGAATAAAACTCAGTTTATATAAGAGGAAATAAGTACTGAATGGCAGCAAATATTCAAAACATTTTCTTTTTAAATCTCTGGCTGGGAGGAAAGCGCCTGACAATAAGCATACAGCAAGTTGAAAGGCAGGAGAAAATAAAAAGATTTTAGCCTACTGCCTAAAAGCCAGCAGACTAGGTGGCAGGAAGACCCCTCCAGGGGAGAGAATCCCACCATTGCAGGGCTACCACGGGGAAGGCCCATCATGAGTAGCCTCCAACCAAAACTCAGTATGCAGGGACTCACAGATCAGAACCTCTGACCTGGACCTCAGGCCTTAGGTGGAAACATAGTTACTTCTTGGTTGGTTAAGATGTCAAACATATCTTACAGTAAACTCCTTGGATCCTACAGAAACTATGTAATGCAGATGTGTCTTCCTATTCTGATGGGTGACTTCTTTTTCACCCTCACTTTTCTTTCCCTCTTACCCCTTTGTATTAGACAGCTGCGTATAAGTCCTCTCTGGTACTCATGTGGAAAGAATGAAGCCTGGTATGAGCCTTTGTGGTACACATTTTACAGCAATAGATTAGATTGCTGATATCCTAACCTACTGATGTACTGAGATACTTGTGTTGATTAACCTAACTGATACAGTGTTCAGAATGTACCTACCAGCCTGCTTTTTCTGTTCAGAGTCATTTCTTAAAGCTTAACATTATTCTCTTTCTGCAGTTTGCAGAAAAATTCTAGAATCTAAAGTGAACTTTAACTCTTTGATGCTTGGAGTGACGAGATGTACATATGACTGCAAAATTGTCTGAAAAATGAAGGGTTCCTTTGCCCACCTGCTGCTCTGGTTTCTAGAAAACAGACAGGTGCCAGATGAAAACTTCTTTTACAGGAATGATTTTTTTCAGAGTGCTCTAAAACAGACTAGAAAGAGAATTAATGACATCCTATTGGACCAAAATTTCAAACACCAAAAAGTTCAGTGGGAGGACTTTACCTCCCCTAATATTTTAGAATTCTTTGTATGAAAGCAAAATCAGCAGTGTTTAATGGTGAGAGATCCTGTTATAAAGACATTCATATTGTTTTGTGTTACTTGCATTTAGACAACCAAGCACAGAGTGGGGTTTTAAAAACTTCATCTGATTAGATCATTCAGAACATCTCAATTTGTACCACTTAACTGGAGCAAAATTGCTGGAGAGTTATGTTTTCTACCTACTGTCATATGAATGCATTTCCCAAGAGTCAAGTGATGGAAATGTAGCTCATTCCTGTGGTGTCACATGGAAATAATGTTCTGGTCATGCGCAGAGAATCTAGAAATAGCTTCTGCTCCACTCTGCCAGTAGAGTTAATGTGCAAACTAAGCATTTAAAAATACCAAGTAGACTTGTTATATATGTTGGTAGAAACAGGCTTAGAGAGGGAAGGATCATGAAATCCTTTGTGCATTACCCTTGGGAGGAAGTTCAGTGGGACTTGTGCTGCATGAACCACCATTGGGAAGAACTTTGTATTAAGTTAAAAATTTCCTAAGTGATTTCTTCTCACTAAAAAGGCATTTATTAAGGACTGATATGTACCCACAACTTTTAGTAAGACTTGCACCAGTGCATGTTCTTTGTGGACTGTGTAGCCATGAACAATTTTATTCTGGATTAGTTGGCTATGTTTTCAGGTTGGGAGTTGGCACCAAACTGCTGGCCATTCTCAAGGAGAAGATTGATCCAAGAGCCAAATCTTCTGTTGTATGTTTTTAAGCAAACTCATTCCAACAGTAACCTGCTCACTCAACAATATAAATAATTTATGCTTCTGATATGGAGCAATATCTTGAATAACCTGAGACAGACAGATATATTTATTTCTTTACTGTTTGTGTGTCAGGAGCCTTTGTTACAAAATAAGTAACTTGCCTACATATAATTTCTACACATTTATCAATGAAAGGAAGATGTGTGTATTCAAATAAGATGGGTTAGTAGGTGAACCTGTTCATTGTCATAATACACGATCCTTTGTGTGCATGTGCCAGCATGGAGGTGGTTCTGCTGCAAAGCCCAGCTTAGCTTATACAGCCATAGTTAGCCTGCAGCTTAAAGGGGTGCAATTTTAAGTGGTATGAATTCAGTTTGTTTTGCACCATTTGGCTCCAGTAGTACACTGTGTATCATCACTTGAACCGTCACTTTGCATTTCATCATCTATTGCACTATTTGTTTTATTGTGTTACTTAAAACATTTTTATACTGGCTTGTATCCTTTTTAGGATTTCATGAGATGTACCATGGATGGCATCCTGGATAAAACCCACATAGGGCTGCTTAAGTCTGGTTTCATACCATGCAAATTCGTGAAGCTTACAGCAAGAGGGTGTCTTCACTCTTAACTCTCCAGTGTCAGGCTTGCAGCATGCTAATGAGCATCCATCACTTCAGTCTAGGTTGATCTGGTGTCAGCTTATGGAAGTCCAACAGGATGTGTTGAAGTGAAATACCTTTATCATCCTGTATGACCTTTTTCCATGAACATTGTCTTCCTCCCTTCGCCCCCAAATTGGATTTCTGTGCTAGAAATCTGAAAAGGGGAAGAGATTCACCATCACCCATGAGAACGTGCAATAAAACTGAACATCTCTGAACCCAGACAGATGACTTTTTGAAGGACTGCAGATTCGCTTTCCTTTATTGAGTAGTAGATATGATTAAATATGCATTTAGCCAAGGGTGAAATCTTATCTGTGTGCCCTTTCTGATGAACCAGAAAACTACATGAGGTCTGGGCCTGCTAAGTCTCCACTTGGGACCTAGAGAAAAATACATATAATTTTCATTCCATAAATCTCTAGTCGAGGTCTGTGCAGAGCTGCCTTCCGACCCTTACATGAACTGTCCAGGTGACCTAGCTTGCAGGCCTGAATTATTCTGGCACCGTGGCCTTTAGGCAGCCAGTGGGACTCATTTGAGCAGCAACTGTTCTAACAAGTGAACCATGACACCAATATTATGAAGCAGTGTCTACTAGATATCATGCAAGATGCTTTCTACCCAGTGCATTTTAATGTTTTATCTTAAGTGAGTTTTTTGTTGTTCTTCTATCCTAGTGTCGGGCAGGTTGTCAACATCAAAGCAAAAGTGAACCGAGCCTTTAACTCTAGCATGGAGGTTTGTATACTTCAGCATGCTATCTTGGATGTGTTATTACTTTTATTTTTAGGTCTGTGTTTCCGTGACGGATATCAGGCCGGGTGGGACTTTCTATAAGTGTGCCTTGTTCCCAGAAAGAATATAAAACTCTTCTTTCCCCAGGACTGTGCCACACACAGCCAAATTTTATTGTTGGGGTATATGAGACACATTTTTAATGGATGATAAGTTGATGAAATGTTCTTGGTGAGGTTGAGCCTTTTTAAGGAAAAGAGTGAGGCAGCAGAGGGAGTTCTGCAACAGTAATGAATAGCACAACAATGTTGTCATCTGACCATTAAAATCAGTTCCTAGGTAACAGAAGGTTGTCAGGGCTTCATGTGGAACTAAGGTTAAACTCCAGATTTATTTCCAGACTTCATAAAGTCCTGACACTTGGTGCTGGTTAATGACCCCAGTATAGGTGCAGGCAAAACTTACTGATGTTCAAAGGTTGGGTGGGTATCACTGTTTTCTTGTATGACATTTCATTTTATTTTAAAATTATACTCCACATTTCTGGCAAAAAAAGACATTCATAGCAGTTATGCATTGTGAACAGTTAATTGCTTTATAAAGCAATGACAAAAATGCAAAAGCAATAAAACAGTTTTAAACAGCTACTATTAAACAGATTTTTTTAAAAAAAATCAGAAATTTATGTTCTCAATGTTTTTCTGCATGAAATTATTAATCTGCTGTATCTACTTTCAATTTTGTCCCAGAATTGAGATTCAAGCTCTACACAGGGCTTTATTTTCAGCTACATAACCTGTAGGTAGTGCTAATCCATAGCAGAATAACGCAATTACATGACTAAATACATTATTGTTCACTTTCAGAAATAATGTTCCATTTTCACTGGTATAAAAACTCAGGGAAGTGATCTGGCAAAGAAAAAGGTGGCAGGAGTACAAGGGGGTGATTTCTAAGGAACTCATAAAGAACCATGATTAAGAAAAAAGGAGCTCACAATAAATGCCTTGTGTAGAAAATCTCTCAGCGTGTGAGCCGATACAGCCACAAACAGGGACAATATAGAAAATTAAAAACAAAGTAATTACTTCTACCACCCCAAACACTTGAGCAAGCAGAACAATCTTTGATGGTTGTCTGGAAGGTAGTAAATATGGCGCCAGGTGAACGTACCATGGGAAGGCATGCCGCCACCACCTCTAACTGATGAAGTTGGAAGCTTCCTGGGAATCCCTCCAGGGACTGGTTCTCGTAATACAGTGAATGCCAGAGTGGCTTGTTGTGTTGTCTGAAATTAGCAGGGTAGATTTAGCATGGCTCGTGAACTATGCAGCCTGAGAACCCATGGCTTATTGTTGGGTTGTTCATGGTGGCTTGTTATGACATCCAAACTTGGCAGGGTGACTTCAGTTTGTCCAGAAGGGTTATGGAGTCTTCTGACAAGGTCGATGAAAAACTTGACCGCTCTTTGTGATCTTACTTGGGGAGCTCTGCCTGGTAATAGCATGTGCTATTGATACCTCCATTTGTCTTCTTCCTCCTCCAGTTTGGGCTTTGCATGACACTGGCCAGCTTTCCCCCTTTCCAGCTGAGGTCTTCCTCTTCTTAGCAGAGCTATGCACATAGGCACAATTGTTTTACTCTAGGAATACCTGTGCAGCTCCAGTTTGGAACCACAATGATTGAGGCAATGGGGGAGGGGGGAATTTAAGCTTTCCTCTTCCTGTTTTCATGCTGAAATCCCTTCCCAGAAAGGGTTAAGAATAGAGGGGAAAAATCAGAATGCAAGAGGGGAAAGGGACCTCACCAAGGTCCTAAACTGAGCTGGTGCGTGCTTACCCAAAGGTAAGTGAATTATGCCTGCACACCTGCAAGCAGAGAGGGAGGGAGAGAGCGAGCGCTCTTTAGGAAGAAGAATATTCTTGCTGCACATTCTTACTCACTTCTTGCTAGAAGGAGAATTTTTTTTAAAAGACTTGAAGGGCAGCCAAAAGCTTTAAAAAAGAAAGAAATTGCATGCTGCTGAAATGCAGGGGGAAGGCTCTCATTGCTTAAAAAACTCTCTGCGGGTAGCAGAGGAAGACAAGGAGGGTGAATGTGGGCTTCTCCAGTAGATGCAGCAAAAGGCTTTAAAAAGTTTTTAAAACCTTTTTAAGAACTCTTCTTGCAAAGTTTTCATAGATAGCAATCTGCAGGGGAGGGGAGGGGAGGGGAGGGGAGGGGGAAAGGTTTACTTTCAGAGTTGCCAGAGGCAAACCATGCCAGCACATAGTGTACCAACAGTAACAAGACTGCTGATGGAGTGAAGCCATGAGGGCTCCTGGGATACATGCTGGGAGTGGGTGGGAGGATTAAGGGGAAAAAACCACAAAATGTCTGATCACCTGTCAGTAACGCCAGCTAGCAAGCCGCTGCAGCTTATTTTCAGCATGTCTTATTATGTCCCACAAACTGGACCACAGTCTATTTCAGACAAGGCCAACCTTATGAAGCAATCACCCTCATGTGGCAGATGCTAGGTGATGGCAGCAGCTGGGTTTAGGCGGAGAGACCCGACTGCCATTTAGCCTACCGTGCATGCCCTCCGTTAGGCTGCGGTGCCACAACAGGTGCAGTGGGGACATGCCCTGAAGCCAGATTGATCTGCTGGTAGGGACCGGACCTGCTTCACCCAGAATGCTGCACTCCAAGGTGATAACCTCAGAGTCTGAATCTGCACTGGAAGAAAAGATGGAGTTGGAATGCATAGGATTCCTCCAGATAAGTCAAGCTGCTGATAAGAAGCAGATAATGTGGTTCTAAAGAAAGCACTGTTGATCAGGAAGAACCAGAAGGGGACAGATGTGATTTGACCAGTCCTGGTGTCTGGTGTTAGATCAAACAAGTAGGCCAGGTGAACAGCATCTAGCATTCATTTCTTCTGGCCCACAAGCACTGGGAATCACCCTGAAGGTGGAGCTAAGTCAGGAAGGGAAAGGGGGGGACTTAGACTGGGAATTTTTCCTTATTAGCTGGCTGAGCAACTTTGCTGCTGTGTTTTGTTAATGACTTCTGCAATACTCCTTTTGTATCACAAAGCCAGCCTAGCTGGCCAGCTTTGCCATAATAAAGACTAGTTAGAAACCACTTGTCTTGATCTGCTTAGAAGGAGAAGTGTTGGGAGGGGGGATCTCCGATATCTGCCAGTCTAGGTGGCTTTTATACATGGACTAGAGGGGGCTTGTTCTTCACAGGTGGCAAAATATGTCAAGCCAGCCCTAATTTCAGCCATCAGGCAAGTTCCCATAAGTATTTGGAGTTGCAGATGCCTGTGCAGTTGACCTCGCCCATACTGAGGGACATGAGGCAGGAGAGGGAGAGTTTTACAAGGAAGCAAGTCAGAATCACCCTGCTATGCTGTCCCTGACTGGTGAAGAATGTTGCTGCAACCTGCATACCATTCTTTTATTTCTAGGTGCTTTGGAAGAGACTTGCTGAGCTCCTCAAATGCACTGGCAAGATTAATGTGCCACAATGAGATCCAACCACCTTCTTGTGCTATTTTCCATCTTGTTCTGTACTTACGAATCCTGGAATACAACAGGAATTAGCCCACACTGTATGTTAGCATTATGCTAAGTGTTGTATTGGAATAATAGCACAGCAAGCATGAATGCAATGGGTTGGTTTGCATGTCACAATAAGCCATGCTGAAAATAAATCAAATTGTCGGTTGTTGAGATGCTAACCTGCAATACCCCCAGCAGACAACAAAGTGCTCTGCAATATGTTGTAGCTTGTAACAGACAATAAACAGCTACAACTTGTGGTTTGTTGCCCCCTTTTTCTCCTGCCGCCTACCCCAAAACCAAAGCAGCCTACAACACTAAAGAGCATAGATGGTTGTTGTAGGGGTGAGTGTGTCGCCTTCAGGGAAGCGTGCATATGTAATCATATTTGTTTGAACTTCAGGGAGATTTGCACAAATGTAACTTTTAGAAAACTGTTAGGGATATACTTGCTTTAGGGATTCACTAAAGCTCAGTATGCAAAGGAAAAATCTCATTGAAGATGGAAAAAAATAACATGAAATTTGTGCAGATCCACCCACCCAGACAAAAACTGTAAATGCTCAAGATATACCTGAAAGTGGAAAAAAAGTGTTACTGTACAAGGAGTCAGTGAAGTGGAGGACTACATTAACTGGTGTTATTTCTTACCAATGTGTCCAAAGAGGGGTAGGTGATAAGGGAGGTGGCACTGGGTGACTGGAGTATTTGGCTGCTCTTGCCAGGCAGCTGTGAACCTTCTGCCGGGTTCACACATCACACTGAAAACAAGCCATGAAGAACAACTCTGCAGCAAGCCATGATTTTTCAGGCTTACCTATACATGGTAAAGAAACCACGTGGAAGAAACTGTACCAGGTCCTCACAGACAAACAAGGGTGACAACCCACCATGAGCTGTCATGTTGTTTGAACCAGGTCAGTGTTTGCTGGGGGTGGAAGAAATAAAATATCAGAACCTTTAAAATGTGTGTAAACTTTTCTGGAGGAAAGTGGGTTGCCATAAAGAAAGCCTGAGTCCTGCGTGTGATATGACTTCCATGTCACCACATATCTTCTACAACCATAAGAGCTAGAAAATTTAAAATACCAACAAAAAACCTAAAACCTGATGTTCCCTGGAAGCCAGAGACCACATGTGCATGGCCCTGGTTTAGGCAGTATTTATTTCTCCTCCCTCCCCACCCCCTAATTGTGATAGCTTTTCTGTAATAATCTGCAAAGTCTACCCAGGCCCAAAGGCGCCCTGATTGCTGCTCCTTTTGTTTGCAACTCAAGTTTCGTTTGTTAGAGAAAGGAGCGGTTGGATCCAAGGGATGTCTGGTTTTCATATTGCTGCCCTAGGGGGAAAAAACCTTTGTGTTTCTTTTGGTTAGGAAAGCAACAGTACATAGAATGAAATAATTGCACCTCCTGTTCTTCCTTTAAATATTCAGAAGTATGACTTGCCAAACCAGAACTAAGAATTAGAATAACACAGAGAGCTGTTATGCAGTGCACGTCCTTCTGGTGCTGCAAAGTATCTTGTGAGGAAGAGAATGTATCTAGTTCTTTCAAATTTTCTTCTTCTGAATGGGAATAGCGAGGCTTTAAACAAAACATTAGGCTTCTGCCCCTCCTTTCCTTTGTCTCTAGGTTGGTGTACAGGTGAGCTATGAGGATTTGTGCAATGGGGAACAATGGAATGTGTGCAAGGCATATGCAACATTTGTTGCACAAGGCAAACCAACCACTAAGGTAAGCATACATCTCAGAAAATTAAGTATGTGTAGCTTCACCTTGTATCATAGGATAAATACGCTGTTCCTGCATCCCACACACCTGATCATTTGCTTTGGAGAAGCAAAGACTTCTGTTGACTGTTCAGGCTATTGTATCATGAGCTTTAATACTGAATTATAAAATTAGCCCTTTAAAATTATTTCCAGTTTTGCACAAAATACTTTTGGGGCAGCACTGCTGATGTTCAGTTTGAAATGTGGAGCCTAGTATTAAAACAAAAACAAAAACTAGTAGTGTCCTGCAATACATGAAGAGTATTATTATTAATTACATTTCTGTATGGCCTGTAGCTGAAACACTTTATGGGCAGTTCACACCCATCTGGATTTCAACCAGGCCCCACCCTGCGTATTTTCCAAGATTAGGCAGGATCAGGGACTTCAGACTATATGAACACTAGATGTCTTTTAGAGACTAGACATGTTATAGATTAGATGTGTTATAAAGTCATTCTCATTGTTGGAAATTCTGACTTTTAAGGGCTGATGTACATCCTGGGAGCCACAGACCTTCTTTTTCTGCCCAAACATGAATAGGATGGTGCACTTAGTTTTCCGTGTGACGCGATTTCCCCTTATTCTGTATAAAGGCACATTATAGTCAATCTCCTTGTGAGCCCCAGTGTGGTACAACCTAACTACAAGTTTACCATCTCTGAAGATTAGACTTCACTCACAGGAGGGTCCTATAATTTAGTCAATCTGTTTGGTTATTTATTTATCTATTCATTTTTCAGTTTGTATGCTGCTACAGTAGCCCATACCTTGGATCTCTGTGTGGCTTACGTAAATTAAAACAGCAAAATATTCTAAATAACATATTCAAAATGTATTAATGTATTCAAATGTAAAAATGTAATCCATCAAAATCAAAATATAACATAGAAACTTTGACTAAAATCAACTATACACCAGAAATAAAAAGATACAGTTTTCCCTTTGACATTAAGTCCAGTTGTGTCCAACTCTAGGGGGTGGTGCTCATCTGTTTCTTATCCGAGGAAGCCGGTGTTGGTCTTCAGACAGTTTCTGTGGTTATGACTCACAGAACGCTGTTCCCTTCCCACCAAAGTGGTACCTATTTATCCAGTCACATGTGCACGCTTTTGAACTGCTAGTTTGGCAGAAGCTGGGACAAAGCAATGGGGGTTCATTGCATCATATGGATTCAAAGTGCCAACCTTTCAGTCGACAAACTCAGCAGCTCAGCAGTTTAAACCACTGTGCCTTCCACGTCCCCTATAAACCAGAAACGGTCACTTAAAATCAAGTTACCACTAAAATCAGTGATTAAAGTGACTGGAAAAGAGATATGTCTTCATCTGGCACCAAAATAATAAAAGCTCCGGGGAACCTGTTCCAGCAATGGGGAGTACCCAGCAAATTTTGTAGAGAAAACCATATCCGTAATATTTCTACACTGTGAGAAAGTCAATATTGTTGGTATGTATAAGGAACAGTTCACACATTTCCCTGCTTGTGCTACTTTTTAGGGTGATATTCCATTGAGGAATGACCAGACATGCTATGGATCAGGGTGGGGAACCTGGAGGTCAGGGAGAAAATTCAGATTGCCTGGGTTCCAGGTGTCCTTCCAGGCTCCTCTGATGGTCAGAACTCCTTCCACTGGTCCCACCCCATCCCTTGGCCACCAATTGTTTAGTTGTTTCTAGGCTTGTGTTAGTTTTTTCCGCATTCTAAAAACTTGCGATGTGTCTCCTAAGGCTTAGTTACTACCATAAGAGCTTTAAGTTAAAATAAGATGCAGTTATTCTATTCTATATTTTACCCTGCCCTCCTGTCTTTCATGCTACCTGCCACCAGCATGTGCCCTCTGGAAATGTCTCCAAAACTGAATTTGGACCTTGAGCAGAAAGCAGTTCCCCACCTTGTTATACATAATGGGCGCTATACAATGGTGCTGCAGCACTGGTGGTGATGACGTGGTGCTAGTATCAGTTTATGCTGGCACAGTATCTTTATTGCTACTGCTGCACCCCCACTGGATACTACCCAATGGATGGTATGTTCATGGATATAATTCATGGATGAATGAGCCAGATCTTCATCCCTTCCTCAAACACATTCTTTGCTCATTCAAGTATAAGTTGTTTGGATGTTCTGCACTCTCCCCTTCAAGCTGACTAATCCCATCTTAGCATTTTCTACCATACAAGTTGGTCCAATCACCAGTTCACATCATGCCTGCCGATTCCTGATAAATAAGGCAAGCAGTGCTGATTTGGGAGGAGCCTTATCTGATCCAGCAATGCATTTACAGTCTGAAGGAGAGTTCCTGCCTAGAGTCACTGACACTGAATATGCTTGAATGGTAAAGAGGGCCTGAGTATGAACTCTGGATTTATAAACTTAAAAAGTACTGATAGACCATAGGGAGACTAGTCTGCATTTGCTTAAATGTAAAAGGAGAATCTGCAATCCACTCCATTCTACAAGGTCATCCACAATTTGAATGGATATGTTTCTGCCAAGTCATTACTGCTGTTGTGTATTTTCAAATGCATCTGAATCAACATTTCTGAATTTACATTGTGTGGTTTGTTCATGCATAGCAAAGACCAAACCATAAAGCTATGTGAGTAGCATGTTTATCTAAGGTGCACAGGGCTGAGTACATCTCTTTTTGTAGCAAGCAATTTTGGGAGCACCCAATTTGGAGCAGAACAGCACTGTGAGAGATAGAGGTTTAACTGCTTAGCCACCAAAAATCCCTCTGCCAACAGCTGACATTTGCCCCTGAAAAGTAGCACATGCTCTTAACAACAGGTTGTTCCATGCCATCAAGCCCAGGGGTCTCAAACTCGCGGCCCACGGGCCAATTCCCGGGAGGGGCGGGGCATGGGGGAGGGGCCCTGCGGCCTTCAAAGTGCCAGTGGCGCCTGGGCCGGCCGTGGGATGAGCGGCCCACCACCACCTCGGTGGTGGAATACTTGGTGCGGCCCAGCCTCACCCAGACTCTACTTCCAGCGGCCCCCAGGTAAGTTGAGTTTGAGACCCCTGATCTAGCCATTTCTGTGAAGATAGGAGCAGCTGTATTGTGTCGGAAGTATGCAAATATGGGAAGGGCCAAAGTACAGAGCATAAATGCTGCTGGGGAATGTTTTGTGTGCTCACATATTTATTTATATAAAACATTGGTAAGGCTTGAAGATATTAGTTCAGCATGCAGAGAAGTAATTGTTAATCTTTTTCCAAGGAGATGGGAATGAGGAGAATTCAGGTCAGGATACTTAAAAACCAGCAAAGTTCTGTACTAAAAGATATATTGTATGCTCTCTTCCCATACGCTCAGATCAAATTAAAGCCCTTCATTCCACAAACAGAAGAGGAGAAGACTGAGTACAGCATTGCTGCAGAGCGCCGCCGTATGAGACTGGCCCATACAGATACGATCAAAGATCTCTCCACCAACAGCCCTGTGCAGTTTGGTACAGTAACCCACAGGCTCCTTTTTGATGCTTTGACTGAAACACAGTGGCTGTCTAGTACATGAGACTAGGGCTGGGGCAGAGCACATCCCTCTGCACATGCATGCTCAGCCCCATCGTGGAAAGCAAGCTGAGTCAAAGGAAGTCCATGACCACTTGTGGAAGGAAGCTTCTGTAACCAGCGTCCTCCTTCCGCGGCAGGTGCAGCAGCACAGGCAAAGGCTGCTGCGTGTGGTGTGGAAGAGGGTCGCTGCTTGCTCAGCGGTCATGTGGTGTGCCACTCCTGGTGAGTCCTACATGAGCATCCTTCTTCTGCGTCACATGCAGCAACACCGAGGATGCTGTACACAGTGCAGAAGACGGACGCTGTTTGTGCAGCATGGGGGACTCAGTTCCTGGTGAGTGTCCTACCGACTTGGGGCACATTTGCAAGAACTTGGGCTCAGGAACGACCCATATGCCAGCACATGGGACTTTGACCATATGTATCTGTGGCCATCCCCTCCTTTCTACCTGATAGACAGGCGTGGGCTTTTCAAGTTATAGTGTGTATGTGATATGCAATTGTTTTTTCTTTTAGTGAAGCCTGTTGTCATTGTAACAGAAAGCCATCAGGGAATCCTCATTTCCCTGGCCAACTGGGCAAAAACCTGCCCAGCATTTCCTTGGTCCCTCAATTCCTGGACCAGACACTGGATTCAGCACATGACAACCTGAGCTTGGGGAACAAAACAAGTTTATTAAAAAGATCGAACACGGGGTAGAAGACACTAAAAGATTCAGGCTAAAAAGACAAAACAGGGTAAAATGGGGAAGGGGGAATTGGGGATCAGCAATAGTACAGTTTACAGCCAATGAAGCACCCCCAGTCCCAGAGCCTTGTTGACCCACTTGGACCGGAAAACAACAAAACGAGCCCTCGCCTCAGCAATACACAGAAGCTCTACCTTCGCCAGGTTCAAGATAGGCAGAGAAGATCTGTTTTTCAACACAGGGATCAGGCAGCAGAATGGACCTCCCAAAGAGGAACAAAGAGCCTCTCTGTTCCTCAGCCTTTATTCCTCCCGCTCTGGTCAGTTGACTAATGGGGAGATGGCCTACATCCCAGGCCAAACATTTCCTCCAGATGACTGATCATTAACCAGTCATTGCTGTTATCTCCAGAGTCTTTTGGGCCATAATTTATGCTTCCAAAAATACATCACAAAGGGAGGAGGATGACTCCCAAGACCTTGGGTGCCAAATTCCTGCTGAGCTGGCTCCAAAATCTGTAACATTTAACCATTACAGTATTAACCCTTCTCTTGCTCCCTGTGAGCCACAGGTGGGTTCACACTGCAGTCATGTATTCATGGAGAGGGAGAAAGGAGAAGTTGGTTTGGCCTCTGCATATTTTGTGTGTGTTTTTTTCCAAATAAAAACATCAGTTGTGCGTATCTTTGAAATGTATACATTCTTCTCCCATTGGTTAAAGTGTATTTGTATGCATTTTTAAAAGTAAGTGCTTTTTTCCAAATGTATACATGCTACCAAACCCATTTTTTGTCTGTGAATGACATTTCAAGCTCAGGAATGTACAGATATTGTCTAGATTTCATCCAAGTTCACATTCAGCTTGGTGCAAACTGGGTAAATCTTGATCAAAAATGAACTGAAAAAATTTCTCATACATCCCTATTGCAGAGAACGTGTTTGGCCCTGACCGGACACCCGTTCACCATCTTTGTGCCAGGCTGTTTCAGGAGGGACAACAAAGATGTCAGAGGCTTTCTGTTAGGTGCTCTTGTATCAGCTACTGCAGAGCTTATTTTAATTGCCAGTGCCTGTAACAAAGGAGGAATCATTCTGTGGTGCAAGAGGTAGAATTTAAATGGAACAAGAGTGAATGAAAAGGCACAGGAATAAACCAGATTAGAGGTTAAGATGAGCTGTAGCTTCTCTGCTGCCCAAAGAAATAAAATCCAAAGCAGACTCCTTGGAGACATGGTATGGGGCAAGGGATCCTTGGAGTCCCACAATTCTGTTTCTGGTATCTGCTTTCTGTTTGATAATGTAGACACTTCCTTACAAGAGCTAAAGATCTGTGGCTTCCTGAGGCTGCGTGCTCTGTTCAATGGGTCCTGCTGTGTGCTTGCTATATGATAAGCCTGCAGGTATTTCTGCCCTCCTGTCTGCCATATAGGAGTATGGATTGAGTGTGTGTAGTTGTTGAACCATGGTTTGGTGAAACCCGGGCGACTGTATTATTGCAGCCCAGACAACATAACAAACCAGGATGAATCACTCACAGTTCATAAATAAGTAACAAACCATGGGTTCTCTTCGTGGGTTATTCATGGTTAACAAACCATGGCTTCTCAGCTCAGTTGGGTTTAGGCAACAAAAGGGTGCATGTGGCAGCAAGAATCCATGGCTCAAAGACACCCATGCTTAGCACTTGGGTTATCATGTTGTATGAAACCAGTCCCTGGATCCCTAGAAATGGGTTCGGGAGTGGGAAAAGAGACACAGAAGTTGCTCCAAGTATTATCTAGCCATTCAGCCATCCCTTTCGAGGTTCCTCTCTGAAAAATAATGCATTTTCTTTTGATAACAGAGCTTGAGAACAGGGAGTGCACTTCGGTGGTACCTGCAAAAGAGACCCGAGTGGAAAGTGTAGAGCTAATTCTGCCACCACATGCCAACCATCAGGGGAACACATTTGGAGGACAGATCATGGCATGGATGGAAAATGTGGCCACAATAGCAGCAAGGTAGTCTGTTTCTTTATCTTTGGGGTGAAACGAAACACTGGGGCAGTGCTAGTTTGCTGTTAAAATGGAATGCCACAGCTTCAGCTTTATACATGAATAGGACTGACCTGTTTGAGGAACCTCAATCTCTTGCATCAAATTCAGCCTTAATGGGGTACCAAGCTGGCCCTCTGTGGTTCCCCAGGTGGCCATGCCCCTTTATTTATTTATTTAGGAAGCTTCTATGCCGCCCCATTCGCCGAAGCCTTTCCCCCGCTCGTACCTTTTCTGCCAACCAGCAGCTGTTTCACGATATCTTAGCTTTTGCATGGTCCTTTCCCTGATTCTAAAAGGCTGAAATGTCTCTTCTAGTTGCTGTCAGTAAAAGCCTTAAGTGAAAGTAGGCTAGTATTTTGAGAGTCCCACCCCTTTTGCCTTTGCAGTCGAATGCAGTCCCCAAGGCTTCTCCAAAATGGAATTTGGTCCTTTGGTGGGAAGAGGTTCTGTGCCCCTGACCTGGGTCATTTAGCCGAGCTTGTCCCACAGGCTGCCGGTTGCTGAGCACTACATGCCTGATGGACCTGTTTGGAATTGGGAGGTCACATAGATCTCATCTGGGTGGAGTTTGAAATCCATCCAGTTTCCACCCTAGAAAATACCTGCAGACTGAAAAAAGGCAGATCTCAGGGCTGTTTCACATGGCTGTCTTTTGGAAATGTTCTCTATCCACAGAAACTTCTTTGAAAATGCGATCTGTTGGAAGAGGTAATAAAGTGGTCTGCCATCTCCATACTCCTAGGATCTGAATTGCATGTTGCTGTCATCACTATGGTGACCTCCTAAATTAGCATGTAGGTGCATGCTCAGATAACTTTTTCACTACTTCCATGTTTCATCAGGAGAAGCAGGACTGGGGACCCAAACCAGTTTTTGATCAGTTCTTAACTATCTCTTCTTTTCCTGCTGCCTCCACCTCCTTTATCAAGCATCTTTCCCTCAGTGGCTGTAGGTTTTATCCTGAGTGCTACAATGGAAACTGAGGGAAGCTTCCTACAAGTATGTACTTAGGAGTAGTTTGTGAGGGAACCACTGTTCCAAGAGTAGGAGTGTGGCCCAAGGACTAATCATCAAGGAAAAGGGCAAGGGGCTTGGTATTAACCACCTCCACTAAGTCATGCTAGTAGGAGCACCAAAGGCTGACTCACCTTAAGTTTGGAAAATCTGCAATCATTTAGCTTACTTCTTGTAACCCTCCAGATGTTTAGACTTTTAGCTTCTAGGTTCCCTCACCATTGGCTCAGCTGGCCAGGGCTGATGGAGCTGTAGACCAAAGCATCTGGAAAGTCATAAGGTGTCCATCCCTCTTCCAGGTTCTAACACAACCTGTTGCCCTCCAGATGTGTTGGGATAAAGGCCCCATAGTTTGATAGGAGGTGTATTCCAAAACATCTGGGGGTGCCAGGCTGAAGAAGGCTGTTCTAGCGTTTGCTGTTGCTATTTGTTTTCCTGTTTAACTAAAGTGTCATCTAAGTACTTTTCACTTTGAAATGTGAAATATGTTAGTTTAGGCTGAGGTTTAGTTGCAGTTGATGAAACTTAATTTCCACAGCAGGGCTTATTTAACTACCTCCTTAGAATACAAACCAAAACATTAAATAACCTGACCGGTTCTTGATTTTTTTCCAATGCCTTGCCATTCGAGCTTCCCTGGGCTCCTTCTAGTGCTGTCTAACCCAACCACCCTTACAATTCCTGTTACAGCCAGTTAGAACCTAGTTTCCAAGGGTGTAGGTGAAGCATCCTAAAGGTTTAGGCATTACACTTGGCTTTGCTGCTGCAAAAGCAGAGTAGAGCTCCTTTTTCACTATTGTCCCACAAAAGACCCCCTTGCTGCAACAGGTTCCACCTGGATACGTGTGGGGGAAATGGATCGTCTTGAGAGGCATTGCCCTTTCTGCCACCAAAGCTGTTCTCTGTCTGCTGTCGTTCCTTTGAGGCAAACTGGTGCTCTGGTCTGCCCCACACCACTGCATAAACACATCTTTCTTCACCCTGTCTGAGAGGTTGGTGCATGCGCTCTTGCATTCTCATGAATGGGCGCACTCACAGCGACTCACTTTATCAGGGACAGCTTGTTCTAGTGCTGGCAGCCTCCTTTCCCTGGAAGTGTTTTTATCTAAAGATTTGGATAGTAGAACCAAAGCTTGTCATTTACTTTTCCCAGAGACACTTACTGCTTTCCTTTAGGTGGCACTCTCTCTTTGGTAATTCAGAACATTTGGATGATAAATGTGTGGAGAAGAGGGGTAAAGATGTCAATTGTATAATTCCTAGCCTTCTCGTATGGACTGACAAGTAGACTTTCTTTTATAGCAACAGGTCTAACAAAGTGAATATGGCTTGAGATTCTAGGTGACTTTGGTTCTAAATTGTGTCATAAGAAAGGATTGTGTTGTGAATGGTGATCCATTTGCATCTCTCATGCGAGATTATAGCCTATTGCTAATTGGCAGTAATTTCTGAATTGTCTGTGAATTCCTTATATGCTTCAGAGAAAATTGCTTAGTTCTCAGAATGAACTTAATTCATTTTCTCGGTTTTCTCATAGCCGATTGTGTCATGCTCACCCCACCCTAAAGACAATTGAAATGTTCCACTTCAGGGGGCCTTCTCAAGTTGGGGACCGACTCCTGTTTAAGGCTATTGTCAACAATGCATTCAAATACAGGTATGCTTTTCTGTTCTCTAGAGCAGAGCTGGGAACCTGTGGCCCTCCAGGTGCTGCTGGGCTCTAGTTCCCATCAACCTCAGCCAGCTTAACCAATGGGGATTCTTGCCCAACATCATCTGGAGACCCACAGGTTTCACCACAATAATCTAGGGTTGGTTCAGAAGTTGTTGGAAAGCTTACTTCAGTTGTGCAAGGGCCAAAATAAGCATGACTTTCAATCTGTTTCTAGCAGCTCCATTTCTTCATTTTCAGGAGGCTCATTCCAGATATTTAGCCTCCACCACCAGCCACAGCAGGGCTTTGGCCCCATGTCGAGCCTTTTTATGGTTCAGTGGGACAACTGTACATGTTTAGAATTGTGCATGTTTTCATTCTGTTGCAAGTTGCAGTGAAGCTTTTTGAGAAGTTGATGATGATGGGGTGGGTCGGTGGGTAGAAAAACACCAACCAGCTAAATTCAGGTGTTTTTTTTTTTTTTTAAGAAAAAGGATAGATTAACAGGGTTTTTTTAAAAAATGGACTATGTAAAATATTTCTCCAGTGAGGACATCACTAGAATGAATCAAAAGAAAAAGCTCAATTTTTCTATAAATAAATAACAGTTTACTTATGTTGTTTGGAAAACTTATCCTTAAAAATGAATTCCGATGAAATTAATGGTTTTCTATTAATGTCTATTCCTGCATTTCCCAATGTTTCATGTGCTTTGAACTCTGCCACAGATGTCTGTCTGTCTGTCATCTGTCTAAGTTGTGCTTACCTTTCCAGCATGGAGGTTGGTGTGTGTGTAGAGGCCTATCGACATGAGATGGAAGTCAACCGAAGGCACATCAACAGTGCCTTCATGACCTTTGTGGTCTTGAATGAAGAGGGTCAGCCACGCACACTTCCAGTTTTGAAACCAGAACCAGGGGTAAGAACTGGGAGTGGTATTGTGTGGTTTTGTAAGTGGTAGACAATGGTCTTGAATCAAATGAGTAATAAACTCTGGATAAATTACTAAAACTGAATCATGTTTGCTGTGCAAAATCAGATTTCTCCTTGAGGCCACCCTGCAAATGTGACTCATGAATGTTGAAATCAAAGAAATCTTTTCGGGAAGATGCACAGCAGCATGAGGATTGAGATTGAATCAAATAACTGCAGTTCAGAACACCATTTTCTATTGCAGAGTGGTTGTACACTCTGACTAGATTCAGACAACATAAGAACCCACACTCAAGAGTTGAGTGTGGATTGTCATTGAGCTGTGGGTTATTCTTGAAACCTGAATGATAAATTGAAAGCAAACCCCTGGCTTGTTGTTAGGTTGTGAGCTGTGGTTTGTTTGTGGTTAATAAATCATGGTTAGCTTATTGTGGCTCAGATCACATAACATAATATAACCCAACCCCCAAGGTTTCTGATCGCTGGCCAGCATGACTCAGACTGATGGGAACTGAAGTCCAAAACATCTGGAGGGCACCATATTGGGGGAGGCTAATAAATACCACCCTCATTAGATCCAAGATTCTAAAGCCTAACATTTATATAACATGCACCTGTAAATATTTCTTTCTCCTGACTCCTGTAACCAAAAACAGCAGGAAGGGAGCAAGTTTGAGTGGAGGAATAACATAGTGAGGCTGCTTAAACCTTTTGCCGTCTTTGTGTTTTTTTACTCAAAATGGTCCCCGCCAGCTGCTTTCCTCCCTGAGAAAAGGAATAAAGGAATAATGTAATTAGCCAGCCTGTTGAAAGGACTAAGACAATCATCCTAATCTTGACTGATTTCCATGAGGCTGAGGTTTGTTTTTACCTTCCTCTGTCTGCTCCTTACAAAAATGCAGCTAGGCTTGTCTGTAGAATGTATGTGGAGCCAGTACTTGTATATTTTACTGTTTAAGCAACTGAGGGCTTTCATCACAATCTTCCACATGCCTACTCAGGAATATGAGACTTCCTTCTGAGTATTTTTGTACAGGAGTGTGGCCTTGGGCCTAAGCCTCACTGAAACTTAGATGACCATAGTGATGTTGTTTTTGGTCTGAGGCTCTGAGACTAGCTCTGCTGACTCATCTTACCACATGGGATGCAATCAGATAAAGAGCACCATGTGAAATGTATGGGCAAAAAGCACATTGCCAGAAGTTATATTAAGTCAAAAAAGTGTGTATGAAGTATACCTTTAAACAGGTTAAGATTGATTTTCTGAAAGATTTATATCCCACCATTTTTCCTGCAAGGAAACCAGGTGGCTTACATAATCCTTCTGTTGCTCTCCATTTTACCATCACAACAACCTTGTGAGTTAGGTAGACTGAGATTTGGTGACTGGTCGAAAGTCACCCAGTGAATTTTACAGCCAAGTGGAGACTGGAATCTGGATCCCTGCAAGTCCTACTCTTAACACTCTGTTCACTAATCCACAGTTGATGCTACTGGTTATATACCCACAACAGCGCCGCCCCCCCCCACAAGATTAGCAGATATGGCAGAACCCCAAGATTTGCACAGGTATAAGAAGTAGAGGAAAAAACCCCTAAGGGGAAGGCAACCCTAAAACCAGACCAATGAAGTCTGAGCATGCTCCGTGATCACAGAGTGATAACTACCTATTGGAAAGAGACAAAACAGAAGACTACACGGGAAGAGCATGGCTGACTGGCTGGTTGGCCTTCAGAGCAGTGAAGGGGAGTGCCCCACACTGTAACGTTTGGGTGCAAATCCTACTTGGGGTGTAACACCTACCATGTTGGTGCTACTTGTCAGTGGATCCAAGCTCAGTAAGAGTCGCCCCCCCGCCCCACCTCCCAGTCTGTTCCTTTTGTTGCAGGGCAAGCAGAGCAAACCTAAATCCTTTGCGTTAAACCCTAACTCTGGCCAAACTATTTTACTCGTTTGGTTCCTGTGCATGCTTCATGGGTTTCCAATATATAATCCAGACATTTTATTTTCCTTTAATAGGATGGACAAAGACGATTTAAAGAAGCTAGCGCTAGGCAAAAAATTAGACTGGACAGGTAAGTGGAGGCAGTATCGTGAATACACTAGAAGCTTCCTTGCCTCAGTTTTTCTCCTCCCTGCCAAGCGCTCTCCCATCTAAGGAACACAGATGATTAATGGTATCCATATATGATATATTTTCCTATGGCATGTTCCCAAGGTAGATTTATATTGATGTGTAGGAGGCTGGATCTATTACATGTAAAGCAGGGCTTTCCATGTCCCAGGCATGTTGCTGCTGGCTTTGATCCACAGGGAGGGAAGGGTGACGTGTTCCACAGAAACATTCTGCTCTCCTCTTTGCCTCAGCAACATGCTCATGGAAGGAGCAGAGGTGGCGTAACCCTTGGGCTGAGCACTTCAGAGGACCCTCTGATGGGAAAGCATGTCTCTTGGCAGTGCTTTCCCATCAGAGGGCCTAAATATGAAAAGCCTGAAATGTTCACCCTTTTGGGAAGTATCAGAGGCTCTGTGCTTTGGGAACTGTTGGCTTGGGGTGGGGAATTTCACTCACACACCCAGGAGTCATGTATACTTGCTCTCTGTTTCCCCAGTCATTTTTTCTGTTCAGCCCACTGAAGCTGGCAAATGCAATCACTGTCACAAGGTAGGAAGGGGCTTGAGCCCTGAGTGGATTAGTATGAAACTCTGTTAGGAAACACCACGAAGGAACACAAAATGATTCTCAATTCCAAATCTGGAAGAAACGCGTTTGTACTAGAAAACCTGACCCTAATCTCAGCTATGTAGGAGCAAGTGTATTTATTTCTGTGTTACGTTACTCTCCTACCCCATCCCAAGGAGCTTGTATAAAATAGCATTGTGTACCTCTCCATTTCATCTTCAGCAGGGAAACAGTACTTTGCACATGTTCAGGAGCACACTTCCTTTTATTATTACTTCACACCCTGAGCCTGAACTTCACACCCTGAGTCTAAACACTCTAAACACGCTGGAAAAGGAGAATGGTGTGGTAGCTAGAACAACCCAGTCCTGTAATATGTTATCTGGAAACCATGCATGGCATGTAAATTCAGTTCCTTTGATGCTGGAGCTCTTCGCAAGCACTGCCTATATACAAACATATTTCCACAATGGAAGGGGATAGAATTTGTTCCTCCTTCCTCCATCCTTGTTTTTCTTTTGAAGAATGTTAGTATTCTTTGGAAGCTACATTCCACACTAATTATGAAAATTGTATGTAAAATATGCTGAATCAAAATGTTGCCTGGGGTGATGGGGGAAGAAGGGCATAGCCACAGTTTAGTGGGTATCACCCAGCCTATTGTGTTTTGCTAGCAAAACTTATCAGACAGGTGGGAAACTAGGGAGGTGTAAAGGAGAGGTTTTATGGAAGAAACAAAAGGTGAGATACAAGCAATCAGCAAAGAGAGTGCAAAGCTGAAATAAATTTCCCTTTCCCCCCACACCCCGGCTCCCAGTCTGTTTCTTTGTTCTGCAGCAAGCCTTATTTATAAAGCAAATGCTCTTCAGCTCTGTGCTTGATTCTGCTTCCAGCCCTGCCTTGCGGTGACATCAGAACCCTCTCCAGTTGTCTCCTGTTATGTCACTAAAACCTCATAGCATCTTTATAGCCTTGTTGTTTCGTTGTCTCTAATGTATAATTTATTACAGAACACACCCAGAGAGTGCGTGCATTATCCGAAGGCCACAGTTCTGGGGGGCATTAATGCCGGATCAATGCATTCTCTTGGGAGCACTGAGGGAAGAAGGCTCAGGAAAGAAGGAAGAAAGAACCAGGCATGGTGTGCAAGCAGCCGAAGCAGTGCTGCATGAAAGAGGATGCTTCAGCTTAGAGTTTCAAGCCTCTTCTTGCTCAAGAGTCCCCGCTTCTTTGTCACCCCTGGTCCTTAGCTCTGTATCTGTCACTGCTTACAAACCCACCCAGAATGTATAGCAGTAACATAGTCTATAGAATAACTTCATTCCAGTTGTCTGGGTAAGGAGGAGTGCTGTCTGAAAAGGGTACTTAGAACAAAATACCGTTTTGGGATGGGAGGGTGAGTAACTTCAGAATACAGAAGTCTGAATATTAGATTTTATGAAGTTATTGCCAAAGCTTCACATAGAACATGTAACTGTATTCTCTCCCATGTCTGTTCAACAGTCTTTGTTTCTCTCTAGTCCATCCTCAGCATTCAAATGGGTTTTAAAAAATAATTTAAATCACATACACCACCAATTAACATGGAATACATGTTTTGTTTACAAATATAATCCTGCATTCAAAGATGGTTTTAAAATCTTAAATTAAGGGAGATATCTGGAAATCACAAAATAGCTTGCAGATTTCTTAAAATCTTAAATGCCATCTTACAATTGATCTTGCGGGGAACACACAAATATAGTCCACATAAGATCCACACACCAAACTTTTACTGCTCCCTGTTAGCTGTGGTTCAGAAGTGCATGTATAATCGCCATCATCAATATAACAATCCAATCTTCACTGCAGGGACCTCTGCATATTGGGTGTGATGACCTGAGACAGAAATGAAACACTAGAGAATTCAGAAAGACTGGACTAAGCACTGACTGTTTCAGGGCTGCTTTACATTCAAAGAAGCTCTGAGTAGGAAAAATGCCATGTTAATAGTCCCTGAAAAACTGCAGGAGGGACTATTTTACTGTGATTAAATATGTTTGAAAGCCACAGCAGAATAATTTATTCCTGTGCAACTTTCACCCTCCAGTGAGTACAAGCCTGTATGCCTCTTCCCTCACCACACGCATGCCCTGTAACATTATCCTGCAGATCACAGGTCACTAAAGAAAGCCTTTCAGCACACACATGGCATCCATCAGTGTGGTCACTGGGCTGTGAGGCGTGCAGGTGGGAGCAAAGGTAATGGTGCTTCAAATATGGAGTGCCTCCAAGAATGATTAGCCTTTGCCACTGAGGCAGCTTTTGGGTCATCGACTGTGTAGAGGGTGCCTTCTGCTGCTCTAGAACAGACCCACCAAGTGTATGCATGTGTATTACTTGCTCCCAGAGCTGTTACTTGAGTACCAGACTGGTGCATGTTGAATTCAGGTTCTCTAAATTGGCTGCACAACTTCCTGCTCAGTGTCCTAATTCAGCCTGCTGGGGATTTCTAGATGATCAACCCCCTCCTCCTGCACCACACTTTCTCCCAACCACTGATCTTTTGGTAGCTTCCTGGCTTTTGTCCAGTTCCCCCTTCTATTCTAAGAAGTAGAAATGCCATTCCTAAGGCTTAAGTACTGGCAGTAGGAGCTTTAAGCAGAAATAGGCTGGTATTTTTGGCCCCACCTCTTTTGCCTTCACCTACCACTGGAATGCAGTGCCCAAGAAATTCTGCAAAATGGAATTTGGCCCTTGGGATGAAAGCACACTGCTTTCAGTGGTTTAAAGGGGGTTCTTAAAACCTGTGCACCAAAGGCGTGTTTCTGTTTGGTCTTGTATTAGGTCCAGCCTTACAGGCTACACATCCAGGAAATATATAATCTTTCAAAATAAGGCATTGTACAATAGAAAGCATAGAAATATAGCAGAACCATTTCTGCAAGTTTGCCATCAAAATGATAAGTTCGTTGCTAGCATTAATATCCAGTTAGATGTGCCATTTATTACTCTGAGGCCCATAGTGTTCTAGTCTCAGTAAATACATGGATGCTTTCGTTACAGAGCAGAAGGAAGTGCAGAGCCATGCCAGTTCTTGTAAACTGGCCTGCCGGTGTCTGTGCACATGTGTCTCTGAATCTCCTTGTTCAACTTACCTGTGGACTTTGGCTCGGCTAATCTCTTCTTAAGATATTCTGTGTTTAAAGTATCTCAAATAATGTAGCTTGTCAAGGTGAGATCTCTATTATGGGATACTTTGGCCTCCTTCACAACAGCTGTTTCATCATGAAGGTCACTGGTAGCGGTTATCAGTCAAATATCCTTTCCTCAGCCTTTCCTTATCTTAGACCCTGATAATGAGATTGTAAAGGAGGGATAGTTGAGCAAAGAACAAGAGCATCTCATCATGAAATGACCTGGTGCCACCTGAGTCCAAGGCTAGTACTGGTTTCAGAACAGCAGTGTACTCCACTGGGCTGAGTCAGATCCCATGCTCACCATTTGCTTCTGCCTCTAGTTCCTAAAATGAATCCCAATAGATTTTCACTTCACATTGCAAACCCTTTCTCTGGGTAGACCTCAATGAATGCCAGCATCTAAATGTGAGATGCTGTCTTTCCTGTGCCAGGTTCTACAAAGCTATGCTATTGCTGATTTAACTTTAGGACAAGGAATCTAGTGCAGTATATTTTTGTAAAGGCAGAGCCATCTGTAGACCATCTTTACGTGTGCCTCCTCTTGTTCCACATGTAAGGTAAAGCAATAGAATTGATTGCTGTGCACTGGACTGAAACTGAATTTTACCCAAGTGTCTGCCTGTCATACCCCTTTTCATATATAGCCTAGCAAAAGGCCAGAGAAGGGCTACACTTACATTAAAAAGGAAAACTACACTTTGGTAGCTCATTTGAGCACATTGTGGCCTATACTTGAGGTAAAAAGTGTTTTCTGTTCTCCTGGCATCCCAGGTTCTAACTTGCCCCTTTGTTCCCTAAAACTGGCCTTGGTGAGCTCCCAGAGGTTCTCGGCTGAGAAGTACCTATCTCTAAGCTTCTTCAAACTATAAGTGAGCTTTACTGACTTTGGGCACTTACCAGTCTTTGCCTCATTCCCTTTTTGTGAAGTCTAAGAAGAAATAGGGAAGAACCACCCAAGTTTCAAGAGAGGAAATCTACCCTCCTCTCTTCCCATTTCATCAGTTTCCCTCAACACCCAATCTAGACTAACCATATGGCTAGTTAAAGAAACCTATCTTTCAGGATAGGGTATAACTTAAGATAAGCTTTTAATAACGTCCTCCTTGAAGTGGTTGGTAACCTCTCAGTTTGTCCTCACACATTTCTCTTGTGAAGCCTCCTTCTCAAGCCCTCCTCAAGCATGCTCAGTTTTGCTTTTTTCCCTTAATGGTCACATGCTCTTTGGGCCAGGGGTATAGAACCTCTTTCATCCTTTGGGCCAAATTGAATTTCAGAGGGGCTCCTGGAGACCATATTCAGGAGGTAGATGGGAACAAAGGCAAAAAGGGTGCAGCCGGAAATACAATCCTTATTGCATATTGTAGTATAGAACCAGTAACAAAGCCTTGGACAAAATATCCACCCTTTTGGAAAGGGTGGAAAAAACTCAGTAAAGACCAGAAATTACACCAAAAGATGGGTGGTTGGGAGAAAGGAGGCAGGAATCTGAAAGGACTGAATTTGAGCTAACACATTCTTGCTATGTCCCCTGGGTCTGAGGTTCTCATCTCTGCATCCTGCTCTTTAATCGCTTAGAAAATGCATCTACCATCTTGTATTTCTGAGCCAGCTCAGGTGGCTTGACTAAGCTGGCTTCATAAGCACAAATCAAACTGATCCAGCAGAAGATGTTTGACCCTGTGGGTGTGGAAGCAATACCCAAGGGGGTTTCCCAAAAAGCATTTAGTCTTGGGTGTTGCTCATAACCCATCCCTTGCTTAATAGTCTCATCTCTATTGATCCAGAGTGGCCTGTGTGTTTTCCGTTGCTGATTCTTGCATCAAATCTACTCAGGTGGTGGTGGTTTTTATTATACTGCATTTACACCCTGTCTTTCTTCCTCTTGCAAAGAACTCTAGGTGGCTCACATGGTCGTCTTCTACTCCATAGCATCTTCACAACACCAACCTTATGAAATAGGTCAGGCTGAGAATGAGTGGCTCAAAGCCACACAGTGTGCTTCATGACTGGGAGGGGATCAGAACCCAGATCTCCTGGGTTCCTAGTCCAACACTCTAATCATTATACTACACTGGCTTTCACTACTGCTGCTACTTCTAACAAGACGTCCTATTTCTTGTAGATGATTTCTCAGAAAGGTCATGTTCAGAACACATCTGCTATGTTCCTTTGAGCATGATATTTAAGCAAAGCATTTGACTCTCAGCCAGTAACCAGCACATTCTTTTTGCTTTCTACAGAAAATATGTCATTTCCTGTAAACATACAGAAGTACCTTTGTCTGTGCCTTGGGACCAAAGTAACAAGGTAAACTTTGAGACTTCTGAGTTGTGAACTTCTGCCAGCAGAAGGGACTTTAGATATAGGTGCTGTGTGCTTTCTAGAGTAGAAAGCTCAGCAGGTACAGATTCCTTCCAAATGTTCACCCAAACAGAGTGGGATAGCTAATATCCTGGGAGATAGAAACAAATTTCAGATTGATTCTGGTAAGTTGGAGCATTGGGATGAAAACAACAGAATAAAATTTAATAGGGATAATAGCCAAGTTACCCAGGAAAAAGAACCCAAATGTATTATTACAAGATGGGTGATAACTTGGCTCAACAATACTCCAAAGAAGAAGGATCTTGGAATTGTAGATCACAAGCTGAATATGGATCAACAATGTGATGTGGATGCAAAAAAGGGCAAGTGCTATTTTGGGCTTCATTAAGAGTAATACTACTTTCAAATCACACCAACTACTAGTTCCCCTCTACTCAGTACTGGTTAAGCCTCATCTTGAGTACTGTGTCCAGTTCTGGGTACCACAATTTAAGAAAGATGCAGACAAACTGGAAAAGGTTCAAGGAGGGCTGCAAAGATCTGGAGACTGGAAGGTATGGAAGGAGAGACTGAAAGAATTGGGCATGCTTAGCTTCTTAAAGAGAAAACTAGAGGGGGAGACTTGATAGTACTCTTCAAATATTTGAAAGGGTGCCACACAGAAGTAGGCACTTTTCTCAATCATCCCAGAGTATAGGTTATAGAATAATGGATTCAAGTTAGAGGAAGTAGATTCTACGTACAGCTGAACATCATGAGAAGCTTCCTGATGTTTAGAGCAATTCATAAGTGAAAGGAATTAGCAACGTGGGCATTCCCACCCTGGAGGTATTCAAGATACAGCTGGACAGCCATTTTAGGCATGCTTAACTTGGAGCCCTTTATTTAGCTGGGGGTTAGATCCAACACCCTTTTTGGCCCCTTCCAGCTCTATTCTGTGATTCTATGATATCCCTCTGGTACTATAGACCTTCAGAGCGGCTTCAAATCCATACTCTTTCAACATCTGGAGAAAGTGAAAGGCTATAGTGAGCTGCTTCATGCCACAGATACCTGGGTCCTCTTCTGGATGGTATCCATGAATCAATATACAGTTAAGATGTTGGGTTTACTGGTGTCTTGGAAATGGTACAGTCAGAATGAAAGCTGGCTTTGAGGTTATGTTTTTCCTGGATATATAATAGAGGTGAAAGCAGTGAGAGAGCAAAAAACATTGATTTTATAGAATACTCTTGTGTGAAGAAAGAAAAAAACTCTTTCATATAATGTTAGGAGTTCTTCCACAGGATCTGCAGAATTCCCAAGACCACAACTGTTCTATGGGCCTGAATGACAAAGAGGACAGGAGGAATTTGGCTCTGGGGCACTTGACATATGCTAGTTGCTTAGACCAAAGCTATGTAATTTAATACAGGTGAAGGTTACAGGACTAGTAAGAGGAAGGATTAGAGTGAGAGGGAGGCTCTGAAAAACACTGTGGTGGTGTTGGATGTGCTCAAAAGTCATACTGTAGGAAACCAGAAGCAATCACTGTATGATGCATGTTTTTTGTATTTCCAATGCAGGTTTATCTGAGTTACAACAATGTTACTGCTCTGAAGACATTAGTTGCTAAAGCCAACTGGGTACTTGCATCAGAAAGAGACAAGGTAGTTTACTCTGTCCTCCAGCAATTCTCCTTAGCTTGGAATGCAGAATATGTGGTTAAGCGAAGGAGCTTGTCCATGGGCTTTTCTAACAAATGGCGGTTAGGACAGCTTCTCCAAGCTGGCAGCCTCAGGATGTGTTGAGCTACAGTTCCTATCATCTCCCAAGAGGAGCATATGGTTGAAGTCCAACACACCTGCAGAATTTCAGGTTGAAGAAGGCTATCTTAGGTGACGCAGTCCTAGCTAGCACTACCGTTGTGGGAGAAATCCTGGTTGCTAAGCTGCACAATTGAATTGCTTGCATACTGTGGTTGTTTCTGTAGCCAGCAAAGGAGTGTGGTAAGCTGTGGGGCTCACATTTGCACCAATCTCACAGGCACCTCTTGGATAATGCTGTGGTGCACCTTACACATCATTCTTCTGCCTGCTGCTAATTTTTGTAAACCTCTGTTATCGCAGACCATTTTTCTTCCTGCTGACATTTGCACATCTGCTTTCCAGTACTAGACTGCCTATCTCCCATAATATGACAAAAAGCCTCCCAGCAGGAAGGTTATTTCTGCCCTTTCCATTATCAGAGATATTGCTCGATGTGACTAATTTATAAAAAGTGCTGAGAGAGAGACAGGTCTTTTCCTATTAGGGTACAGGCAACATCTGGAAGGGCTCTGTGAACTTGCCTTATGTCCCAGACTAACTGCACACATATAGACACTATTTGCATGTTAAGATTAGCAAATACTTCTTTGTTTGCAGTGCTTAATTTCCAAGGCCAACTGGATGTCACAGTGGATTGGATTTTGAGTGTCAGATTAGGGCACCCGTCTACCAGGCCTCATGTGTTCCATGCATGTTGAAAAAGTCTGGCTGGGTGCCCTTCAGAGTGAGTCCTCTGTGCAGTGCAGAGAACCGGAGGCAGGGAAGCAAATCTGAATGTATCCACTCTCATCTAGAACAGAGCTTGCTTATTACGGCCGTGGTGGGAGTGATGAGGGAAAGGTGGCATTGGGAGTTCTGCAGCAAGCCCTATTCATTCATAAGAATAGAAGACTCCAGTTCATGCCAGGGTAGAAGCAATGCCATCTGCTCTCTTCAAAAGCCAACATGAGATAAGAAAGACTTGCTGTCAGTAGTGGCCCTTTTGTACCTAAATTATTGCATCTCATTTAAGGACTGGGCTCCGGCATTGAAAATAAGTCTTGGGGCTGATCTCTGACTCAAATAATGTGTGCCACGGAGAAGGATTGTGTGTGTGTGCACATATGTTAGGGAGGGCTATCATGCTTAAGGCTGACAACAACACTTGGAATAGCTTTGGAAGGTACACCTAGACCTCAGAAGCACTTTCTCCAACTGCACCTATTACGTTGTTTGAACAGAAGTGACACATTCGTTCAAGGGAACCAGCACAAGGCCTTTTGAAAACAGACACTGGACCTTGCAGAACTTAGAGACTCTTTTATGTTTGTAAACACAACCAGTTGTTCTCCATCCCATGTCTACTATAGACAGTGTTTGCATTTGTTGTACATTGGGTCCATTTGCATTGAACTGGAATCGCTGTTGGATGAAGAAATCTTGTTAACATTCATTGTCTCTCTTTGCACTCATTTTAGGTGAAGATGTACACACTGGAGGAGGACAAGTTCCTCTCTATCCGAATAGAGATGACCATCTGCATTGATGCAATGCGGGCCTTCCTGCTGCTCTCAGACCTGCGGCGCCGGCCTGAGTGGGATAAGCATTATGCGTAAGTACTGCAGAGCAGAGTTGTTACAAAATGCTCTTCAGGTAGAAACGGCATCCCTAATTCCATCTTCGTGCATAAGGGGTTTTTCTGCCCAAGCACTTGCTCTGAACCTCCCCTGAAAAGCTGAGATTCTCATAGCACTGGGTTCACTGCCCACCACCACAAGCTGTGGCTTTTCCATGCTCTCACAAATTCATAACAGAGAACAGGTAAAATGAATGACTGAACCACTGTTCCAGTGAATATAGACCCACCCCACAACTTTCCTCCTTTTTCCCGGCTTTATTCATTTTGATCAGCCCATAGGTGATCTATTTATTTATTTAAGGTATTTGTATGCCATCCTTTGCAAGAGCCTCAGGACGGCTTACACAAATAAAATTCCGAAGTACATAAACAATATAATATAAATAAATTGACAACCCACTCTGGCTGCAAATTAAAATATGGTAATAAAATTCAATATTAAAACTTATTAAAATATTGATTAAATAAAAAGGTCTTAACCTGGCGCCAAAAAACATATAATGACGGTGCCAGGCGGACCTCTCTGGGGAGCGCATTCCATTGACGGGGCGCCACCGCAGAGAAGACCCTCCTCCGGGTACTCTGTCTCCTGATGTCTTTCACAGAGGGTTCCCGGAGGAGGGCTTCTGCTGCTCTTTCCGTTTCCATTTCTTTCCGTTGTATTATATGATCAAAGGTGCTGCTGCAGAAATGCTAACATAAGAAGAGTGCTGCTGGGGCAGATGCAAGTCCTACCTTGTCTAGCATCTTGCTTCCCAGTGCTGCTAGCCAGACACCTCTGGGAGGCTCATAGCACTCTCCTCCCATTGTTCCCTAGCATTCTTACCCACCTATCTGTTGACCTGGTTCCTGCTTGTTGAGCGGTTTCATCTTTTGGTTATAGGTATGTGCAAAAAAACCCCACCTGGGTTGGATTTCTGGGTTTATAAATACATACATATTTTTTCCAGGAGTTCTGAACTTGTCCAGCATGTTGACAAAGATGACATGATCTATCATGTAATTAGTCGAACGATGAGTGAGGAAAAGAAGGTTCAGGACTTTGTCATTCTGGTGTCACGAAGAAAACCTTGTAGCAGAGGGTATGTCAGCAAGCATTCTCCCCTCATTCTGACCTTTAGGATGTCAGCCTAAATATGGTGTGTGCACACACACACACGCACACTTCTTTTTACGTGTACCAAAATGAACACCTGCAACTAGACTAAGTTGCTGTGGGCAATTTCAGCCCATTACTTAAGCAGAGCAAGAATGTATTTATTGCTCTTGTGAACCTGCTGATCTTCAGAACAGAAGAGGATAAAAGTTCATTTCATGTGCCCTAAACAGGCTTCCTTCTTTTTCAGTGATCCGTATGTTGTAGCATTCAGATCAGTTACGTTGCCAACACATCCAGCAAAGCCAGAATACACACGAGGGGAAACTTTATGTTCTGGTTTCTGTATTTGGCAGGAAACAGAAGAGCTCGCTAAGGTAAGCATTTATCTTTATAGGATAACTAAGCAAACTAACAAGCAACAATAGCACAATTTGAACAATCCTAAAACATATTTAGACAAAGTTTGGACCATGTTGGAGGATCATTCATTTCCTCCTTTCTTATGCATGGATTGTCCCTTTCATTTCCAGATTACTCTAACCATAGCTTGCTGTGACATCAAAATTAGACAAGCCATAGTTAGTAATAACTCTGAAACAATAGTTTGAAACCATAGGGTGGAAGTGGGTTTACAAACCATTATTTGAATCTAAGCATTAACTGTTACAGTTAAAGCAATCTAGAAATGAGCAAAAATTGGCATATGAAGACAAGAGGGGAAGTGTGAGCTTAGAAACACATGCAGACTGAACCATACTCTGTGCAATCTGTGTCCTACTTGTCTTAGATTGTTGAAGCCAGTATTCCACTTTGGCTCCCTAGGCTACGCTCTCTGTTACAGAGTGCATGCTTTCCTCTTTGTGCTGTGAACAGTTTTGCAAGACCCCTTCTGTATATCACGTTTCCCTCAAGTAGTCTGCTGGATCCTTTTTTTTTTTTTTACTATCCGGTGTTGGAAATGCTGTTCTTTGTGGTCCTTTCCAGACCACATTTCATGTAACAGAACACCTAGATTGCAGAAGCACATTATATTGGCCAGGCTTCTCTATGGGATGCATCCTGAATGTGTTCATGCATGCTATCATTTGGAGACAAGTGTTGAGATCCAGTGGTTTTTAGATAGACTCAGCTGCGATCTCTGCAGTCCTGACTCTCACTTTTGCAGCCGCTGTAGTGATGGAAAGCACTTGCCGAACCCATCTGTGTATCAGTGATTAACACAAATACTCACATGTACCAACATGTTTGGCATACCTGTGGAGGACAAAATGCCCAGGAAAATGCCTGTGTTGAGGTAGCTGTCAGTGTTTTCATTTTCAGCTCCAATGTTATTTTGGCTTTACACTTTATGGTTGTTGTTGTTAGTCGCGAAGTCGTGTCCAACCGATCATGACCCCATGGACAACATTCCTCCAGGTCTGTCTGTCCTCCACCATCCCCCGGAGTCCACATAAGCCCACACTGACTGCTTCAGTGACTCCATCTAGCCCCCTCATCCTCTGCCGTCCCCTTCTTCTTTTGCCATCTATTGTCACAATCATGTTGTTGTTGTTGTTGTCGCTAGTCGCAAAGTCGTGTCCAACCCATTGCGACCCCATGGACAACATTCCTCCAGGCCTTCCTGTCCTCCACAATCCCCCCCGAGTCCACTCCAGCTCACGCCAACTGCTTCAGTGACTCCATCCAGCCACCTCATCCTCTTCCTTTAACACTTTATGGTTAAAGGAAGCTTAAACCATAAAAGCAATGCTTCATATGTGGAAGGGTACCCATGTGCTTTGCTTTCTTATTGGCAACACTGCCAGTGTATTTTTTGGGGGTCAGGCTTGAAAGTTGCTATTCCAGGGCACTTGTAATATCCACAAATGACTTAAGATGTTCAGGTGCTTAAAGCAGAAAATTCATGCAGTGCCCATCCTTTGAGCTGGTAAAAATATAAAGCCCAGCTAATTGACTCTTTGCTGCCCTTTTGTGGTACCTTAAACTGTTTTGTGCTTCATTCTGTCTATGGACAAATTAATGTCATGTGCAAGTTATGATTTAGAACAGAAGTCATGAAGAAAAAACCCTTTGCACTGCAGTTAATACTTTTGAGGGAAAGGAAGGACATGCTTTGCATGGGGCCAGGAACAAACTAACAAAATGCTTTCCTTTCCAGATTTCCTATTACCACCAAGCTACTTCAGGTGTGCTGACTTACATCACAACCAACATTGCTGGCCTTTCTTCAAGCTTCCACTCCACCTTTCAAGACTGTGAACAGTTTCTCCAGAAGAACAAAGACAGCATTGCTATTGAGCCAGAGATTCTATAGTGGCACCACTATTTTTGGGCAATATTTTGTTTTTGTCTCATGACAAAAATTAGAATTGAATGTTGAAGTCTGCTGTAAATATTGAAGTGTCTTCTCTATATATCTGAGAAAGGGAGAAGAAACAGATTTTTTTTTCCAATTCATACATTGCATAGCTTGAAATTTGGGAAATAATCATTTTATTGGCTTGCAATCAGAATGAGAATTTCTATCTTGGACAATTTATTTTTCCAAACTATAATGATTACAGTGTCTGCACTTATTCAGGAATCATTATATGAAGATTCTTCCTGGATTTTGCAAGTCCTTAATTGTCCCTGTTGGCTTCTGTTGAAGTCTTGCATTGATTTGATTGACAGGAAAATCTGATGTAAAGGAAAACTTGAAAAATTGACATTTTTAAAATCAGCACATTTCTTACCTTTTCCAGCACAATAGGTTAGAGAAGGGAGTAAACATATGTATTAAAAATCAGTAGCTTACAAGCTGTAAAGAAAATATAACTTTTTCATATACAAGTAGAAGTAGTGAAGCTCATTTTAAAGTGCCTTTTTACCCAAGGGAATGAAGATTCACAAGAATTCAAAATGAAAATTCATAAGAAGTACATTTCTTTATTGAAAGAATCTAGAGAATAATATTAGAATTGGTGGAGGATACTTCCAACATTAAGTTTTAACTCTTTCACTTCAGGGCACATTGCACAAATACAAAATATTAAATCATGTCACATGATGACAATTTAAACATTCTTTATGAAAGTGTTTTCCCTTAGATTTCCCTGATTGTTGGAAGTTGCCTATTTTTTTTTTTCCAAATCTGGCCAAGCCAGAGGAAGAATAGGTAATTTTACTGCAGAGCAATTGTTCCTCTCATCTAAAGCTCATTCAAGCTTGACCCTCTGGTAGGAAGAAATTTCGTTCTCTTCTTTGATCACTGAGTACCTGATCTTCTGTTTTGCTAGATAGGTCTTTTCTCCTATACTTTTGCACAAACATTATCGGTTCTGTCTCCTGGAATCTTTTATTGCTTCTCAGATGAGGCAATTTACTGAAATAAATGGCAATAAAAGCATATCTAAAAGGAAAAAAAAAAGAATCCTGACTTTGCCTTCTCCAGGGATATGCTGTTTAGTTCATCCATGGAACAGGTGGCTGGCTGGCTTCTGCCTCATAACGCATGTGAAGTTGTGTATATGTTGGCATCATTTTTTTCTCTTCAAGCTTCAGAGGATTTAGTGTGAACATGTGCTTAGCCAGCGGGTGTGGGGCTTCAGCAAACAGCCCTCAGATATTGTTGGATTAAAACTCCTATTAGCCATGCCTCTGGCCATGCTGGTTCAGGCTAATGAGGGTCGGAGCCCAAGAAAATACAGAGGGACGAAGCTTCTCAGGTGTGGTTTGATCCCATACACTCACTGCATATAAGAACAGCTGCAACAGTCGGCTAAGGAATGGTTTCCATGTCCTATCACCAGGGTAAGTTACCATGATTGAGCTACTTTTTGTGCATACAATGATACTGTATGTCCAAAGGCACTGGTGCAACATTGTGTAGGCTAGAACTAATTGTGGGCCCTGGCATCACAACAGCAGAAGACACTTATCTTTACCAATGTCATAATGCTTGTAATATTTTCCTGCTTTGCCGTATTTCCATATATCTACACTTAGAATATGCAGGCAAGGAGACTGAAGACAGGTATAGAAATCAGTGGTATAGTTTTAATTTTAAAAAAATCAAGTTCTTAGCATTGGAAATATTCAGAAATAAGGCTGAAAACTCATGAACCATGAATATTAAACCTCAGAGACTAGAGTCACTTTGAGGAATAGTGTCATGAAAAACTTAAAGGAAACACCAATCAGAGGTTCAATGAGAATTTTTACTGTTTTCGGCCAGCAAAACCAGAACAGCAACAGCAGTTGTATCTCCATCCAATTAAGTCTAATGCCACCTGGTAAATAAACAGTATAATGGCATTATCCACACATAGTGTGTCAGTGCTCTGCACAGAACAAATATAAAATATGCATGTTCACTTGATTTGCATAATTAATGTAGGTTATCTAATTTGTTTTTTCTTGAAACAATCTTACCTTGGTGTACAACCTATTGGTTTTTCAGTTTACACAGAGTCTTGCCTATCTGCCTTTAATTATTAAAAACTGTGTTAAAATGCATAATGCTTTTAAAGTTTCTTTATAAAATTGAGTTACCTTGCAGCCTTGAAGGAGCCTTCAAAGTGACTTAGTTTTATTTTTTTAACAGCATGATCTTTTATATGTTTATTCAGTTGACCAAGAAGTTCAGTGGCACATACTCTTAACTTAAGTGGGTATGGGATTGCAGACTAGAAGAATTTTAAACCATAAATTACCACACTGTCAAATTATGATCAAAAGAAAAACAATTCTTTAAAACAGAATAGAACTAATATGTTTAAAATAATTCAAAGGACATGCAGGTCATACATTTTTAATGGTTCACCCAAAACTAAACGAAAAAAGGCCCCAGCCTCCTTCCACACCTGGGGTGCCACCACAGAGAAGGCCTTGTCCTGTCTACTACCCAAGTTTGCTGATGAAACATATAGAAGGACCTTCAAAGCATTATTTTAAACTACAGGCAGATTCATACTGATCTAAGACAAATGCAATATGGTCAGCAAAGTACAATCACAATTTGCACTAGCTAAAATTTCCAAGCACTTTTCAGTGATTGTTTAGAGGTACTGGCTGGGGAATGCTGGGGATTGTAGCTTGATTCTGCTAAAATATGCATAGGATTGCACCTAAGGCACAGCTCATTGTGGCCAGATCTGCCTTCTCCAGGAGGTGAAGCAGCTGGTAACTAGTAGAAACAGAATGCAGGTGCTCCTGTCCACAGGACCCACCAGGCCTCCCCGGTGCAATTTATAACTCTAGCAGTGATGTGTCAGACATCTTGTTAACATTCATGTTCACAATCAGTTAATGAGTTGTGTTGAATTTCTCTCATTTATTCTGTCAAATTATTGAGTGCTCTATCTTCTCCTTAAGAATTGGTTTTAAAGGGGTCTAAGCCAAACAGGATGGTTTAAGAACAGCCTGAGAATCAATGGCATTCCCAGTCTGTTGACACAGCAGCACTTTCCTGGTTACCTTAAAAAGGATCCATCACAATCTGATTGGTGAAAATATTTCTTGTAGAACTGACTGTGGAGAGAGAGAGAAGGAGGGAGATAGATTATTTGGTTTTTATTGGTTACATATTTAATCAAGGTTGCAGTCTGCAAATACTGAGCTGGTTCTACTGACATCAGTGGAAGTTCTTGCAGTGTAGAACTTTTATTTGGCTCTCAGCACAACAGCTAAGAACAGGTAAGCTTACATTGACCTTTAGTTTGAATTGGGCATTCACTTCCTGCTTCGTGCTGCTAAGCCAGCTACAAAACAAAAGAAAGCATGCCACCGCTAAAACGAACCTGCTATTTAATATTTATATAAAGCTGCTAGTGTGTAGCCATTAAGGATTTGGGATGAGGTGCCAGCAGCATGCTGACAATACCCAACTCTATTTCTCCATGACATCCAACTCAGAAGTGACCATTCATAACTTCGATCGGTTCTTGAATGCAACTGTGGGCTGGAGGAGAGCCAATAAACTGAAGCTGAACCCTCTAAGACAGGCACTGTGGATGAGCGGTTCCCAATTTCAGAAATCAGGGAAATTACAAGCTCTAGAGGGGGTTATATACTGCCTAAAGGAATTTGCAGACTGGGGGCTTTCTGGATGCATTGCTGTCACTGGAGGCCCAATTAACCTCTCTGGTTAGGGGTACTTACTATAAAATTAGGCCAGCATGCCCACTGTACCCATTCCAAAGTATGTCAGACCTAAATGCTGCAATGTTTGTCATATTTATTTAAAACCCCCTTTGCTATAGCTTAATTGTAGCCATGTGCTTTCTTTCTATCAGCCTCATGACACTATTGTGTACAGGGGGGGGTGCACACAGGTGTGCTTTTTTAATTAGTTTTTATTCCTTAGCAAACTACTTTGGGATTTTTTTCAAATGTAAAACAGTAGTAAGTATGGTTAATAATAATAAGACCACCATCACCACCTAACAAAGTTGGACTCCTTTTATGGCATAGCTTAATACCTTCTGGTTGCTTTGGGCTACAGCACCCAACATTCTTGATTACTGGCTGAGCTTGCTGTGGCTAGTGGGAGCTGAAGTCCAGAAAAACTGTGTGGGGGGCATCTGGCTGGGGAAGGCTGGCCTAGCTATTCTGGAGTTCCTCAATAGGCCTGGCAAGCCAAGAACTTACTACTCACTGCATTTAATAGAAAGCAGTCTTTACAAGGTGTATTTGATACATGTAACAAAAGGGAACTTGGGCACAGCCTCTTACAACGTTCTTGTTCCTTTGCCCTGCCCGATTTGAACTACAAGGGGCTGAAATCGTTTTGTCTTCCATTAAAAACAAGCCCAAATTATTTTTACTCCTTTGCAATTTAGGTAATTAAGCGAAAACTAGTGGGATGGTCTGGCTCATCAAACCTCCCCTGCATTCTTGCGGTTTCTATTTCAAACCTCTCCCTCACACTGATGCTCCCTGATGTTACAGGGCTCAAGCAATACAAAACTTTCACAGTGCTTTTGGCTACTATTGGCTCAATTGCACCAACATACTAGCCAGCCGTGGTCAGAATATTAGGATTCACTTAAATGGTTCACGAAAAACTGAAATTAAACCTGACTTCCAGCCTGCCTCTCTGCATTACTGTATTTCAGTGATACTTAGAAAACAAACCTGTAAAGTACCAGTGCTTTCTCCATCTAGTAGATGATGGCTGGGCTAAGGAGACAGCGGTATGGCCACCTAGGAGCTGATGAATAATTTCAAGCTGGGAATTCAGGCTCTTACCTTTAACTGCTACATCATACCAATCTATGTGCTTCAAATAGGACTGGAAGATATTTTGGGAACTATGTGGCTTCCTAAAGAGATAGAAACTGGCTGCAGTTCTGATAGGGGTGGGCAGATCAAATTGTTAATTGTACTAATTAATTGTATCCTTAATTGTACTAATTGTTTATGACTATTAAGACACAAGCCAGTGCCCAGCCCTGCAGATGCATGCAAGCCTCTGCATTTGGAGGCTTATATGCAGCCAATGCCTAGAGAGGGCACCATTGTGGTGTACTAGACCATGCATTTCATCTAGATAGCTGCCTTCAGCTGTCCAGATGAAGCACTGAGGAGGCTGGACAGTAAACCTCCCCGACTCTGATGCAGCTCCTTCCCCATTCTCTGGTGCCTAGCTGCACTCCTAGAGAGGCAACAACCACGGTTCTTTTTGTGCCAGCAGAAGGCTCAAACAATTCTATCCCCGTCCTCAGCCAATACAGCATCAGAATGTCATAGAGCTTTCTGTCGGGAGCTGGATTTCCCCGTTCGTTTCAAGCAACAGACAATCTCTTTGCAAAAGAGCTCTTTATTTCTAGTGCACAGCTATCAAGCTATAGCCACTGGTAGACGAGTCTCTCTGCATGAACAAAGTTATTTGTTGGACTCAAAGTAGAACCTACTTCCAAAAGCCCTCCTTTTCTGAGACCCTGGGCTCCACCACTCTGGGTGGGCCCCTCTGAGAAGGGCTAGCCCCCTAGATCTAAGCAGGCCCTCTAACTGTGTAGTTCTTCTAACCTGCTGCTGCATCATGGGGTCAGGCATGGGCTCATCTTCCTCCCCTCCCTTGTTCCCTCCCTTCACTTTCAACCCCTATCTGTTCCCTTTGCCTGCCTGAGCACCTAAAGATGGCGGTTCCCTGAGACAACCTCACCCTCCTTGGCCATCCCAATTCCAACACTCCCCATGCCCAGCCATCACAGTCTTCATCTAAAGAGTCTGCAAACTTGACCCTGGAAAGTGCACCAAGAATAACTGCCTCATCTGTTCCCATCCAACACATTACTAATTTTGAAGAAACTGAAATAATCAAAGGTGTTGCTTAACTTCCTTCAAAATGCAAGGCCTCTGTATGCAGAACTACCTGGTTCCATTTCAAAGTACTCCAAGGTGGAGTTCTTTTTCTTTCTGCTGCTTTCCCAAATCTTTCTCCTGTGGCTTTCTAGTGTTCCTGCTGTGCTTTGTACACATGACTTGCTAAAGAGAGCCAGTGAGGTGTAAAACCTGAAACAAAGATTGGGTAGCAGTTTTGCAAAGAAACCCACATAACTGTTTTGTTATCTCACCATCAGTTTTAGTCATTTGTTGCTTCAGAGCCAGCACTTGGGAGGCTGCCCATTCTAGTCACTTGGATGTAAGTCACTACAGGGGCAAGAACATGTTTACAAGTCTAATGTACTAGTTGCCTGAAATAAGTGAGGCTGTGACTCTTGTGCTCCTATGGAATATGTAAATATTTTATGATTACAGTCTAACTTACCCCCTATTTTCATGGGGGCATATATTCCAGCTTTAAAGAAGAAGAGTAAAATGTAATACTCACGTGCCATGTCTTTGAACTGAGACAAAACAGGATCATAAAGGTCGTAATAGATTTGTTCAGGTTGGCTATTATTTCGAATAAACATGAGATCTTCCACTGTCACTGGATCAAGCTTCCCTTGCCACAAAGTCAGGCTATACCTAGGAGGAGGAGTTTTGGAGGCTAAGCCAGAGATTCTCAAACCTGCCGGACCAAGGATACTCAACAGTAAATCATTCATTGCAAAGGCCCAAGCTGTTATTAATCAGACAGAAGATTCATGGTTGAGCTCTGAACCATTTTTTGCTACTTGGGTCAAACATTCCTTGGATATGAGTGAACTGACTGGAAAAATGGTATGGAGGGAAGTGATTTGCGAGTGAGCGCATGGTGTAGCAGCTGCAGTCTTAGACTGGGACTCTAGAAATCCACATGCTAGTCCCCAGCCACCTATGAAGCTCACTAGGTAAGTCTGAACCAGTCACTTATTCTCAGCCTAACCTACCTCACAGGTTTATTGGGAAGGTAAAATGAAAAAGAGAAGGTCCAGGCAAGCTGGTTTAGTTTCCTTAATAAACACAATTAAGCAACCACTTGCTTTCTCTTCCTTCCAACAACCCTCTTCTATAAAGAAACTGGTAGTCCCTTGTTACTGCTTTGCTTTATTTTTGTTTTAAAGTGTTGGGAGATTCCTGTTAGACAGCATGAATAACATATACTTGACTCCCGACCTATCTGAAATGTTGTTACCTTCTGTGAATGGAAATCTATACAGTCATTAAAATGTGATCAGTTCTGCTCTAATCAAGTGCACCACATATATTTTGCCCATTTCTAGTCTCTGAGCAAACCAGGTTTTCTGAACTATGTTCAACTTCCTTTGCATTCTGATAGGAATGGAAAAATAGATGTGGGCTGTCACTCTCTTACCTATTGGACTGATTCAAGAGCCAGCTCAAATGAGGCCAAGCTGCTCTTGCCAAGACAGCTCTCACAGGAAAGGTGATTTGCTGAGGCATCTTTCTCACAAGGCTGTGCATTTCCTCAACCATTTTCTGGGTATAGGTCATGCTTGGCAAGAGAGGTATATAGAAGGTTGTCCATCCTGGGGAAAGAGTGCAGTTTGGGAATTTTTCCTGGATGAGTGAGAAGAATCTAAGGAAAAGAAATAACAGAATACAGATTGGATCCGCATTTATGCTGGATCAACTACACCCTAAGTTCCTTCTTTCTATCGCAGCTTCTCCAGACCTCCTGGAAATGCTACACAGAGATTCAGGATGCGGGGAATCTGCAAAATCAGGGAGAAGGCCCTTTAGCATGCAGAAGGCAGATTTTGGCTCCAATCAGGTAGCTGCAACTGTACTCAAAAAAAGAAGCCACTGACATTGCTCTCTGCATTGGAATAGACAAACCCTGATCAGACTCTCCAGCTTAGGAAAAGCAGCTGCTGCCTGGAACTCAATCTGGGACCCCATAGATTTCCCATATGGCCCCCTACTTGGCTCCTAAGGGCCTTCCTTATTTTGTATACTCCATGATCTATCATCTGAGATGTTAGTAGTCTGGTTACTAGTACAAAATATAGGAGGAAATCTTGCTTGGCTGACTTGTGATTAATAGCAGGTCTCCAGGCACAAGCCAACTTCACCATCTGACACAATCAAGGAGACACGAGGCATTTATCAAGGATTGAGTGTTCTCCGTCATTGTGAAATTGGCTCAGTGAAGCCCTGTGTTAGCAGAGGAACAGAAAACTGGGAATTATTTTGGAAACTTTTCACAAAGAAAATGTTAGCCCTGTTTTAGCACTACACGGTTTCTGCCCAGGAGACAAATGAATGCCACATACCGACAACAAAATATACAGCAAGATGGTACTTGCTATTGATGATGGGTGTGGGCTTATTGGCTTCCCAGAATATCTGGAGAAATTTCTCCACATTTGGTTGATGTCTGTTGTCCCATCTTGTTTTCCAGTGGAGCAAGAGTATGCCAAGTGCAGTGTATCTGACCACCCTTGAATAGATCTGTGACTAAGTTAGACTGCATGGGCAAGTCAGCATGGTTCTTGGGGCATAGTCTTTGCACAATTAACTTCACAGTCTAATTCATGTTCACATTGTACAGAATATTGTGTGTCCTGGTGTACCTGAACAGCATGAAAACGCACCATTTATTTACAGCAGGCAGTTTGTACCTGTGGGTTGCTGCATACCGAGCACGTATGGGCTCCTCATCCTTGGTCCATCCAGCCCAATATTGCTGCTCACTGGCAGCAGCCCTCCTGTGTTTCAGGCAGCATTATTCCAGCCCTACCTGGTGAGGCCACAGATCGAATTTTGAACCTTCTGCATGCAAAGCACTTGCTCTGCCACTGAGTGCAGCCTCTTTCCCATGTTTTATTCAATCATACTTGACTTTTTGCACATGGTGGACAGCAAACTGGTTTAGTACCATCCAGAAGTGTCGCAGTCCAACACACCTAGAGTTCACCAGATTGGGGAATCTGATCTACTTGGTGGAGACCGTGTGAACTGGCTCTTGTGGTGTTAACCTTGCCGAAGTATGGAAGAGCTTTTAAAAGAAATCATTCTAGCTACTCTTTAAAATCAGTTCCTTAGCACAATTTTATGGTAGATTAGGATTCACAGATGGTTTGTTATCCTATTACCAATCAGCTGTAAACAAACTATCCAATTTAGTGTCTTAGCCAAAGGCCATCACAATCAAGTAAATATTTTATGTAAGATTTGTCTTAATGTAAAATGTTGGAGGGAAGGGATTATAGTTCATGGTAAAGGAAACCCAGGAACTGTTCCATACAGAGCTGAGAGAAACTCATGTATGACTCCCTGGAGAACCACTGCCATTATAGAAGACCAACCTTCCACAGAGTAGTGCCCTCCAGATGTGTTAGACTACCGCTCCCAGGATCCACAGCACAGCTTTGTTAGCAGTGGGGTTATGGAAGTTGTAGTCAAAACACCTGGAAGGCACAGTGTAGCAAATCGATATAGACAGACACATGAGCCAAATGCTTGACTTGGCATAAGACTGCTGTTTTCCTTTAGAATATATACTCTGATGCAGATATTAGGAAAATTAGTTTTACTCACAGACTTGCATTAATAGCATTATTAAAAGGTACATTTGGGCCTCTCAGAATGTCTGCATTTAGCCACACAGGCCTGTCAACATCCAGCTGTGAGAAGACTTTGACCAAGATATCCAGCGATGGGCCCACAGACTTGATGTTCTTGAAATCTAGCTTGATGGCTATTTGGACAAAGGAGAACATTCTATGAGAGCTGGCTGAGCACAGTACTGTATATATGAGTACATACTTGATAAGTCACTTAAAGATCCCTTACTAGCCAGACTTGTAAAATACCCTTTGTAGTAAAATTAAAAAGTCATTTTTACCCGTACACCAACAGAGACCCTTCTCACCTGCTCACTACCAAGGGCAGTTATGCTGGTACATGCAAGGGAAAGGGCCTTTTCAGAGGGTGTCCAGCACCTCTGGAATGGACTTCCATCACTGGTTCATCAGGGTCCTTCTTTCCCTTGAGAAATTCAGAGGACCCACCTATTTTCACTAGCCTTCCTTTAAACCAGGGCCTTTATTTTTACTGGTAAGTTTCATTATTTTATTTGGCAATATTTGTTTTTATTGATTTTTAAAAGTATCCATTTGTGTGGTTCTTATCTTGTGAATTGCATTGAGAAGGTTCTACCCTTAAAGGAAATCTAGAAATAATTTTAAGCAGAGGCAGGTCCGTATCTCCTGGCATCTTGGGTCCTCAGCAAAGTGCCACACCTTGCCTAATTTGATGCCAGGAAATATATCTCAATAAATAATTCTTTCTCTGTTGGTAAATCAAGGGTAAGTATCCCAAGTGCCCTCCAGGTGTTTTGGATTACCAATTCCTATCGGCCCCTCCCAGCGTGATTATGCAAATTGTAATCCAAAACACCCAGAGTGCTTTAGGTTGCCTACTCCTGCTGAAAATAATGGAACACTTTCAGATAAGAGCAAAAACATAGTCAAACATCTTAGCTAGCGGCTTGGAATTCCCTGCCCCACCACCTCCGATCAACTGCTTCTTGCAGCCAACATGCCTTTATTAGATGATTTAAGCACTGCCTCCAGCCATTCCTCAAGAGTGTTGTCACTGTAGACGGCAGGCGGATGGGCCATGATGGGCTTGTCAGTCTCATTAAGTGTGTTGTATCCTTCAACAGTGACATCAGATTCAAGGGCCATAACATCACCTGCTTTCACAAACAGAGTTAGAATGCCTCCAAACCAGGCTTTTAGTAGTCAATCACACTACCTCATTCATGAAATTTTACTAGGGTCCAGACAATGATCAGGTTCGCACTATCAAGAAAAGAGAACTAGCCACCACACTTTCGTTTCCTTCCTGAAGCATTCAAAGCCCGCCAACATGTTGTGTTTCTTTGCCTACTGCTTCTTCTACCTTGTTCTTACCAGAAAAAAAAGTTGAGAAAAAGATGGAATATTTGCAGAAGATCATTTGACTTGGAGCCCTCTGTCAGGAAGCACCCTGCATTCATACTATAGGAAGCAAATTGTATTGCAAATTGTGGCATCTTGGTATGTGTAGATCTTATCAGACGCACCAGTTCAGATTTTAAGGGTCAAGATGGCAACAAGGTCCATCTCTGGAGGCTTGGTTTGTCTATAAAAATCTTTGTATTTAAAGAGTTTTTGCTGTACTTCTTTTATCTCCCACTTCTTGAAAGCCAGTAATATATTCAGCCAATAATAAATCTAACAAATACTATCAATCTAGAGCAAGCAAGCAAGATTTTATAAAGCAACAGGCTTATGATAGCATAGCATTTTTTAAATTGCTAGATGCAGAGAACTAGTGACTTGGCTACAGTTATAGGTGTTCTACATGGGAGTCTGCAAGAGAGGAAAGAAAGTGATTCAACATCTCTCTCTCCAAAAAGGTACCACAGCTGACTTGTTCTTATTTGGAATAGGGTTTAATATGAACAGGATTCAGCTCAGCTGAGCTGTACAACCTATTTCAATGCCAAGAAACAACTTTTTGGCCATTTTATGTAGTAAGAAACAGTGCTCTTTTAGTCATGTGCAGAACACTTTTGCATCATCCCTCATTCACTATGAATAGCTGAACCACATCTAGACTAGAAATAGAAGAGTCCACCAATTTCTTTCTCTCATTTTCCTAGTCTTAAATTTATCCCAAACTTTGAAATTGCATGAAAATTATCTTAGTACATGTTTTTATACACAACTTTATTAATGTGCACAGTTTTTGCAAGAATTAATTCAATGTATTCTATCAACAGACACACAGTTTTGTTTGCATTTTTGCTCATATATGCATTATATATATATTTTAAATCAAGGAGTTCCATTACAAGATTTGAAGAAACTCATATTTCAAAGTGAGTTTCAGTTTCTGTATTGGTTGGAAAGTGTGACATTGGGTAAATTTGCTAGCCAGATCTTCCACACAGAAGGGACTTCCAGGCAAATCTGAGTCCTGGAGCCTTTAATTCTAGAAATTCTGGAGCTAATTTTTTCCTTCCACATTTGTTCAATGACATCAGCAATCATTGTTTGATCCAGTTATATAGGCTTCTATCATACTTAATTGTTCCCTGCAAAGGGATTGGCTCTTCCTTTCTTTGGTCAACCATTCTTTTTTTCTATGGTTCCACAAATATTATCAGACTATCAGTTCTATCAGGTAACTCCCACAACCCCTAATCAGCATGGTCAATAGTTAGGAATGATGGGAACTGTAGTCCAACATCACTTAGGGGTAGATGATTAGGAACCACTGTCTTGGCTAATTTACAAATTGTTGCCTAATAGAAAAAAGCAAATTGATTTAATTGACTGGACCAAAACAAACACCCTCCCTTTCAGTTTATTGAAATCCTACTGAAATCAATACAGGTTCAGCTTGGATCATGAGGATTATAGTTTTTCTAAGTACAAAGTGACCCTCAGGTTTTCTGCTTGCAGTGTTCTTTTGATCTCTTTACATTGGACATTTCTTGCTAACTGATAGTCACCTTAGTGGAAATCTCTCTATTTTGCTTTCTCTATCAGGAGGGATTCCAAATGTCCCCCTCCCATGAATTACTTGATTTTTAGATTAAATGTCTGATACAAGATGTGCCTGAGAAGGCCAAATAAAGCAGATATGTAAGCTGAAGGGTTCAGCATCAGCCTGGTGCATTCTGTCCATTCCTCCAGTTTCATTATCGCAAGGTGATAAGCCCCTTCAGACAGAACACAGTAAGAAATCTAGCACTGCTCCACCTTGACAGAGCTGTCTTATCTTGTGCAGTTCGAATCAACCACTTATCCTTATCACTGCAAGGTAAGCCATCCTTTTTCCTTATCATTACAGATTTCTGTGTCTTGATTAACTGTAAAGAATTATGACAGTAATATGTTAAAGTTTAGCAGAATTTAGGTAATCCACTACTTTGTTTACTAGGATAAACATATATACAAAAGTAATATTTAAATCTAAGATTAGTCTTTTGAAGTTATTTTCCATGTAGGGAGTGACTTGCTGCTCAGTCAGATAAAGGAACAAACCAGCTTCAAATGCTTCTTGTCAATTATGGCTTGTTTGCAAGTCCTTATTTTACAAAAAAATTAAAGTTTAATATTTTGCTGTTTAATATGATTTCCCCTTGACTCATAGCACTAGCAGGCCTGTGAAAAGCACTATCTGAGGGAGGCAAATCCCTTAGATTGCCTTAAAGTGCAAGCTGCCATCTTCCTTCCTGCTGGACCCCTAAGTGGAGATGGGAAAGAACTTTTGTTTCTCAGAAAACATACACAAGTGAACAAAAACCCCAACGGCAGTGGGCAGTGCCAACTGGCTAGTGCAAGGCATATCGCTTACACACATTTCTCAGTCCCTGGAGCAAGTTTAACATGTAGAAGTAAACTTACCCCATGTGGCTTTATTTTTAAAAAATTTGGACTGCATGTCTAAAGTGGGGCTGGGGCTGGGGAAGATTGCCAGCTGATCTAGCATTTGAGTTCCTGGCATGCTGATGTGCAACTCAAGTTGTAAAGCCAGGATCATGCCGTGGGTTAAGAACTTGCTGTGACTGCAATTAAAATGCTTCACCTGTTTTCCCCTTCAAAGCTGTTCTTCCTCACACAGAGCTGCTGCGGATAGAAACGGAAGGTCTATTCCTTCTAGAGTTTTGAGAATGCAGTTGTCTGTTTATTTAGGAGTATGTGCATGAGGTGGGGTTACACACAAAGGCCTGAGAAACAAGATGTCCCTCCTACTGGGCTATCACTGTGGGAGGGAAGTCTCACACTTCCAGAATTAGCCTAGCAAGAAAGAAAGTGCCAGGCAGGAAAGGCATGACTTTGGCATACTAACTGAACCTATAAAAGCACTTCATGGCTTTACATTCTCAACCTAAATGTGAAGAAGCACATGCTGTCTGACAGATCTACTGTCTTAAACATAAAACAAAGTCCCATGCACATGGAAAGTAGACAGGATTCCATTCTGTGACAAAAAGTCAAGCTTCTAGTGCAAAACCTTGCATTCTTGAACTTCAAGGATGTATTCCAATAAAGTAGAATCTTTTAAACGTGTGATATTAAAATAAAAAGGCTGTATATATAAGAGTAATTTTGAAGATATCTGGGGATCATTTATGGAGTACATGCTGATAAAAGGGAAAGAATTTAAACCATCACAAGACTCATTGGAATTTTGAAAGGGGGATGGAGTCTCTTGAAAGAGCAAATGATTTAGCATGTATCTAATGGTTCCAGTGGTGGGATGCATGATTTTGTTATATTATCATAGGATTTTAATTGTATGCTTTCTTTTTCATTGTATTGTAATTTCTTTTTGTTAAAAAAGATTTCTAATTGAGGCTAGAAAGCTTGGAATTCTATGGACAGTTGCTGGTTCATCAAGATAATGCTGTTAGCAAAAATGTTCTTTCTACTTCAAGTCATAAATTTCCCTTACTGTACATTCAATACAATACTGTGCAGAAGGTGAATGACTGGTGAAATCTCAGAAAGAAATCAAACAAAAATCAGACTGGGCAGGGAACTTGGTGGGCACAAAAGAAATGTCTGTGGACACAGTGTCCATGGGCACCATGTTGGAGACCCCAGTTGAGTTGGGTTTACTGTGGCTTTTAATAGTGGTGGTCTTCACAGTTAACTCTTCCCTGTGAACAGCAACAAAATGGGAAAAGATATGCTGCAATACATTATGCAGAACAAAAGGTGGGAACAAAAGGTGGTAACTTCTTCAGATCTCAGAACTAGCTTTTCTTGAAGGTTGTTTGCTTGTCTGAAAGCAGATTGTGCTGTTTGATGTTGGGAGGACAATTATGCCTCGACACATATAAGCTGATTTTCTTCGTACTCTGGTACTTTTATCCATATATGCATTAATTATATAGAAAGAAAACGTATCTTACTCTTTAAGGCCTCTTCCATCTCACTCTTTCGGTTTGCAGCATGGTGCCAGGTGACCAATAATCCATCTTTTCTGTCTATTCTCCTCAGATTTAGCAAATAATCCAGCATATCTCCACCCGTAGAGAAGGTGGGCCTAGCTATGGTATCTGAAAGATCAAGTTCCAAACAGGAAATTATACAGAAATAAATGTGAGCTGCTCATGAGAAACGAAAAAGAAGAAAGGATTTGAAAAGGACAATGAAAACAACACAGCTTCCTGTGTCATCTGGTTTCAGTAATACATGTTCTGCAAACTCCAAGTCAGACTCCAGCACTGCACTCCTTGTGAGGATGCCCTTGAAGAAAGCTCAGAAGCTACAGCTTGTGAAAAATGCAGCAGCCACATTAATCAAGGATTCCAGAAGGTCTGAACGTGTGAGACCAATTCTGGCCTTCCTGTACCGGCTGTCTGTATGCTTCTGAGTCCAATTCAGGATGACGGCTTTAGCCTATAAAGCCCTGGGCCAGGACTGCAAACTACCTGAAGCTACTGAGACACAACACCTTGCATCCAAGGCTTTCCTCCAAATGCCAATTTAAGGGTGGCAACAACGGCATTCATGGCGGCAGCCCTCCATTTACTGAATAATCTCCCCATGAGGCCTACGGAGCAACAGGTTAAGACTGCTCTCTACACCGTTATTTAATGGCACATGGTGGGACATGTCAGCTGTTTTAATTGGTCTAATTTGTAGTGAAAGTGTTTCAGGTGTTTAAGCAGTTTAAAATTTTGTATATTGGAATGTTATGATTTATGTTACTTTTTATTATTTACTTTTATTATTGTACTTGTATGACACATTATTGTGAAATGTCCTGAGAACATCAACTATTGGAAGGTACAGAAATGAAGCTGTCAACATCCTCTTTAATATCTGGAAATACGTTCTGTTACTGCTTATGTTCTGGCTATGCTGATACTGCATCTCATTTGTTTCAGCAAAGGAAAAGTCAACACTTCCTTTCCAAGTACAGTTATTTTGCTGGTGCTGGTGCTGCTATATTTATATAAAATTCTCTAAGCATGATTAAAGCTAAACAATAAAAATAAACCATCAACAATAATATCAACATTTGGTGGAAAGAAATAAAACTATTACCAGCACAAAGAGAAGTAACTAAATCATGTAAAAGAGCTAAAGCCTACTCATTAAAACTTTTCAAAAATAATACCTATCAGGGACTGATAATAAAAGGATGACTCCATCCAAGTTCAGCAATTTGATTTTACAGATTTAGCATCTCATAATGATTTGGACCAGTGGGACCACACTACCTATAAAGCCAACCTGTTCCCAATGCCATGATGCATCCACGGTTCTAATGCACTTGCTTAGTTCCCCCCATTGCCTCTTGTATCTTATGCATTCTCTAAGCAAAAGGTTCAGAATATGCCACTTCTAACTGCTGCAATGGAGCCAACACTTTGATAAGAAATCTAATATGAATTCTAACCTTGTAATTAAACCCATAATCAGATAAGAGCTCCTGATTCCAACAAGCTTCAGTTTGCTTGGCATATTACCTTGCGGGCATTTCCTTTTGACTGCCAGAGTCACTGCCAGAGCTACACAAGCAGAAATCACAGCCACAACACCGATGAAAGCGATGACTCCTTTTCTTCCAATGGCTGGACGCTTCATGTTCCTTGCATGTACCAGCTCCTTCACAACTATGTTTATACAGTTGCAATTTCCATCCAAAAACCCAGTAATGGTTAAATTCTAGCCAGAACTTCCAACTGCTGAAACCAGATAACCTTAAATGCAGAAAGTGATGCTCTTTCTTGTAGGAGTCTCCATTAAAAAACCAGCATAGCTTTGCAGGAGTTTCCGTCCAATAACACACTATTACCTTGAGAGAATTTCCTTAATAATTTGTGGAATGTGCACTTAAATAATTGAGTATTGCCTTGGAGGAGTGTCTTGTAATACCAGGCTACCTTGAAGGAGTTTTATTCCAATAATTTTTCACTGTCTTGTAGGCATTTCTTTTAAGCAAGGTGATTATTTCTTAAAATATTGTTTTTCCTGACCGGTTTTCGTGCCTTTGTTTTCTTCTGATAATCTGACACAGACTTAAAAGGAATTATTTTTAATAATTCCTTACAGGATTTGCCACCTGATAATTACACATCACAACAGCTTGGAATAGCGATCGAAGGGTTTCTTGTTAAAAGAATAAAGCACTGCTTGGGAGTTTCAAGGAAAACACTTGATAGAGGTTTCCTCTGGTTATGCTTATATGGAAAATGTCCCTCCTTCCTCTCACCGTCCTATAGGCATGGCAATATTTGGAACTAAAGTCCATCTCAACAACTTCAAGGAAGAAAGCCACCTCCCCACGGACTTCTTGTACTGTTGTCATGTGTGCAAAGGCAGCTGTTCTGAGATTGCCAAAGCCAGGCCCTTCCTTCTTTGGAACTGCACAGACAAAAGCTGGCCCTGAAGAAAAGATGCCTGCTGGCTTTAAATTATCCAGTTCAAAATAATACTGACATTATCACTTCTAAGCTTTCCTGACCCTATTAGATTAAGGGAAGATAATTCTCTGAGAAGCTTCTGTTAAAATTACAGCATTAGCCACATACACGCTGGGAAAGGCAGAGGTTCAGGATCTCATAACAATTGAACTCATCCCACTGTACATACAGCAGACCCGAGACATACCTCTGCAAATCCCACTAAAGCTCTTAAGTACTGTGCTTGCTTTGCATATCCCAAGACAGGGCTGGGCTTACAGCATATATGCTGGGCCAAATCCTCAGGGTGCTCTCATTCTTGCCTAGCAAAAACCATGGCAACCAGGTTCAAGCTGATCCAGATTGTAGTCATACAAGAGGGCCACAAAAGAAGTGATTCACAGCGAGTTGCTCTACCCCAGCATGTCCTTTCGATAAGCCCCCACCGGCTACTGTTGTTCCACTTGTTTCCATGTGAACCAGAGGCTGCAGATTCTCAGGTATGTCACCTGTAGCTGACTTGAAAGCAACCTTGAGGTGCTTCAGGTTTTCTTAGTCCCAGTGCTTTTTTTGTAAAAAAAAAAAAAAAAAAGCGCCGGAACCCACTTCCCGCGGCAGTAAGCACACACCCCAATCCCAAGCCCAGCAGCGGAGCAGCTATCTCTCACTATCAGATAGCAGGTCTCAGACACAATAGTAGCCTGCAGGCACTATGTTAATGATGTTTGCTGCTGATCTGCTACTCCATTCAAAATCGCTTCGTAAAATCCATTGAAAAAAAGGTGCCGGAACGCCGTTCTGCTGCGTTCTATGACAAAAAGCCCTGCTTAGTCCCCTTCTCCATGCAGAGAGAGGCTCCAGGTCAGGGGCTTTACGTCAGGGCCTAAGCAGGGCCCATCCCCTTGGTCTCATCCCTGGCCCAAATTAGATTGCATTCCTCTGCGTTAGACCCTCAGGGAGTGCACACAGAAGCCAGAAGCCGTTTACATGACTAATGTGCTATGGATGAACAGCAAGTTCAGTAGGTGTTACTGAGTGGCCTTTGAATGATTCCACTGTGTTGCCAGATTGGTCCATGATGCATGCAATTTTCCTAACACAATTCATCCTAGGATAAAGACTAAGCCTTCCATGTGACAGAAGAATTAGATGCCCACTTGGCTATGCAGTAAAGTGCAATGCTACTTGTACTTTGCAGGGCTAACTTGTGGTAAACAACATTCAGTGTGGCTACTTTGGGACAATTAGAGTCTGTCTATTTTTATACTGTCCAATGGCATAGTTTCCTTACTGTGGGAAACAGTTGCAGTGTATACAGAATTGATGCTAAATATTGCAGCAGTAGCTCATGGTTGGGATCAAATTATTATCCATTATAGATCCAGTAATTAGGTCCTGTGTTTGCAAGACCTGGTCTTTTCTTCTAATGTTGGCATTTTTTATCATGATTGTGCATTCGATAAATTAATGAATACAGACAAACAGACTTCCAATGGGAGCCAGACGTAGTTAGACTACAAGACGTCTTTTTCAGAGCTGTCAAACCTAAATATTTCATTCATTTATACCGTAAATGTATCTGCATGGGGTAAGGAAAGGCATCATTTCACATCGTCAAACCGAATGAAAGTCAAGAGCAATCCAGGATTGATGGGCTGGAGAGGTGGCTCCAGAGCAGCTTCATTTTAATTAATTTTCAAGGCCTTCTTGTATCAGTACCTTTCTCAAATGTTCCCTTCTACTGCCACCTTCTGGCTGACATACTGGAACAAGCTGATGGAGTTGTGCTCTGTTTTACAATGTGCTTTGCAGAACTCTAAGTGTTTATTCTCAAAGGCTTGAAATGTATGGTTTGGGTCAATGGGTTATTCCGTTTCCTAAGCTTTATATCACCGCCTTCTAATGGTTGGTGATTAATTATTGTGCAGGAACATACATCATGTGCTATGCATGCAGAGGAACTCTCTAGGCAAGCATAGAAAGATGCCATCTGAAATACTGAGGAGCTGCTGTTTGTCAGTAGCTGCATTTTTGCAAGTTACAGTAAGCAGAATTCTGAAGAGCTTCCCTTTCCGTGCTATGCTCTGTTCCTCATGGCACGGGAACCAGGAATTTTGGCTGGTCTCTTCAGACAAGCAAGTCATAAGCCAACAAATATATATAGCTTTTCTATAGGAGGCATTCATTGTTCGCTCATGATGCAAGTTTGCAGGGCCTTTTGTTGGGACCCTGTTCTATATTTGGTTAGATATACATTCTGCAGAGGTAACCACTGAAGAGCGGCTTGCACCTGGATCTTTAAAATCCACGCTGAGAGACTTACAAAGGTTAAAAAAGTTTACTTACTCACAGGCAATCCATATGTGACTTGCATGAAGGAGAGATGTTGGTATAGTCGTGCAAGATCCCTTGGTTCAAATGGAGGGTGCATGTTACATAGTTATCTTAGACGGGGAGAGAGAACATGCCTCATTTCTCATGGTGGGGGAGGGGCAAACAGTCATGTGACCCTTTAGCCTTTCCAGATGAGATGGGACAAGAAAAAGTGAGAGGTAAGTCAGGGCCCAAGCAGAGGGGTCAGTCTACTCTTGTCTATGGCATTAACCCTTCCCCCCCCACACACACACACATTCTGTTTTGTAGACAGAACCATCCCATGTTAATGCAGACAATGCTATATATACTTAACACCATTTCATAACTTCACTGTCTTCCAGGGCCTCTCCTAATTTTTCCATCCTTCTTCATTATCCCCTGCTTCCTTTCCCTGCTTTGAGCAAGAGAAATCTGGTATTAAAGTTTGAAGGGTGACAAGCCAGAATAAGGGCCTCGTGAAAAGGCGAAAATTGGTTCTTCTTCAGTTATGTCGCACTGCTCTCTTGTGGTAAATTTGTAGAATTCATAGGCAGAGAAATACTGAGGACAGCCCGGTTTAAAAGATGTACACTTTCCTCCGCAGTGAAATCCCCGAGGAAGCCTCTGTATTGCAGCAGATTAAATTCCATCCAGAGAAGCCCTAAGACTCTGGCTTGTCTGGCAAGAAACAACCAAGAGTTCCTGGTTTGCATGTTATGATAAACACACCATGGATGGAAGGTGCACAGTTTCGTTAGCAGCTCCCTCCTGCAGGAGAAACCAAATGTAACTAAATTCTGGCATGTTCTGATGGGTAACCGTGTAGACTCTGACACTAGTTTTATATGTTTCTTAATTCCCCAAGCATTGAGGAGTTCCAGTGGCAGCACTACTGGGCTCTGTCTTTTTCATATTTACTCCATTTGCAAATATATAATTGGAAACCATTAGAAGCAAGCAGGCAACAGATTCCAAACAGAATTGTAGCAGCATAAGTGGTATGAGCAAAAAAGAGTACAGAATGTTTTTTGCATATGATTTCATATACTAATTTATATGTATAAATGCAAATATAGATATAACTATTTAAATCATAATATAGTACATCTTATCTCATTGGAGAAGGCCATGGCAATTGAACTGTGTGTCTTGCTCAGACTGCCATCCAGGTGCCCTTGGTCTTTAGGATGGTTCTTCTGCACAGCCATTCAGCAAGAGGAAGCCTTTGAAGTAGAGCTCGATCCTCTGTAATCCTTTCAAACAGAAGACTGCATACGAGGACACATGGTCACCCTAAGCATGCTTTAGCATCATCCACTCACAGTTCTCCCAACTTTCAATTGCAAAGTTGCTATTTCTCCACAAGTTAAGCAGTACAGCTCATTCGGAAGGGGAGAGAGAGACACCCCATTGGTTCGCCAGGAGAATTATCCATTTATCTAAAGCTATTAAAATATGTAGTGCTACAGCGGCAAATTTAGAAGTGAGGGGTCCTGTTATGATAGTAAGAGCCACACCTCAAAGCCATGGCCCCCATCAAACCACACCCCCAAGCCACGCTTATTTTCAAGATTATGCAACTAATGATTATACAATAAAAATGAGTTTTGTTACTTTGTTTGAATTTCTGTTGAGTAATGAATGCAAGATGAGGGTATCCATTTTTGAGGTGAAACAATGACAGCTCCTAGAGGTTATTTCTTATCATTTATTATGAATGATCTTTAAAAATTACATTCATAACCTGCTCTGCAGCCAAAAAGCTCCCAGAGTGGCTTATGTAGAATTTTAAGGCAGTTTCTGCTCAGAGGCTTACTATCTAAAAAC